CCATTCCGGTTAAACCGGAGCATAAGTTTTTAGGCCTAGTATTCGATAGTAAATTAACTTTTGGCCCACATATAAAGGAACTAAGATTAAAATGTCAGCGAAAGTCGAATCTTCTTAAGGTCCTTGCACACCGTTCTTGGGGTTCCGACGGTGTCTGCCTTTTGCGAATCTACAAGGCCTGTGTTCGCTCAGTTTTGGATTATGGAAGTATTGTTTATGGTTCTGCCAAACCCTCTACACTTAAAATGTTAGACCCAATCCATCACCAGGGAATCAGACTGGCAACCGGAGCCTTTCGAACGTCCCCCGTGCCCAGCTTGTATGCCGAGTCAAATGAGTGGTCGCTTGACAAACGTAGATTTTATCTTAGCACGCAGTACTATTTAAGACTCCGTACTCTTCCACAGCACCCAAATTTTTCTTTGATTGAAAGCATAAAATATGAGCAGGCCTTTCAAAACAAGCCATCCGTAACGCGTCCCTTTGCACTTCGTGTGAAGGATGCTGCAGCGACTTATAGTTTTGACATATCTTGTTCTGTCATGGAAACTGAACAAAGGCTTGCTCCTTGGGACGACCTAATTATAACATGCGACCTCTCTTTGACAAAATACAACAAGAAAGTGGCAGCCGCTAGTGTTATAAAACAAGAATTTTTTGAGATTGCTAGTCGTTACGAGACGGACAAAAGTTTTTTTACTGATGGGACGAAAGGTGCTGGCTATGCTGGCTGCGCTGCAGTTGGGCAATCCTACCATCGTGTTATTCGAATTAATGCCAATGCATCTGTGTTTACAGCTGAGCTTCATGGACTCTTAGTGATTGTAGATGAAATAATCAAACAAAAATACAGATTATCTGTGATATTTACAGACTCGCTCAGTTCCCTCCTTGCCCTTAACTCTGCAACATCCTGGAAGCATCCCCTGGTTTGTCTGCTTCGTGTTAAACTAATGAATGCTATAAAGCAAAACATCTCTATTCACTTTTGCTGGGTTCCTAGCCATATAGGAATACACGGCAATGAGGAAGCCGACCGAGCCGCAGGTGCATGTGTAAACAGGTCCATTGAAATTCACACCCTCCCAGTGACAGATTATAGAACCACACTACGAAATAAAATCAAAGATTCTTGGCAAGCAGAGTGGGACTCTGACCCTCACAATAAGCTATATAAAGTTAAACCTGTTTTGAGTGAATGGCGCAGCGCCAGACATCGAGAAAGGTTCTATGAGGTCATCTTATGTCGATTGAGTATAGGCCACACACACCTGACTCACAGCTACCTTCTAAGAAACGACGACCCACCGATGTGTGACTACTGCTCAGAAACTTTAAGTGTACTTCACATCCTTTTAGTTTGCCCGCAATTCAATAACGAACGCCGCTCCTACTTTTCTATCTGTTTCAGAAAACAAATACCTTTCCACTTGGCACTTTTACTTGGAGACGAGCCCGTTACTCCGTACAGACAAGTTTTTAACTTTTTAGAAAAGTTTAATATTTTACATTGACTTTCAACTACAATCTTGTTTAAGTGATATTTGATATTTTGACCCACTGCAATAGTAAACATTTAGTCTTGTGATATTTACTTACCCTGTGTTTGGCGCACTATGGCCTATGTTGCTGCTGCGCCAGGAAACTCAAAATTCATTCATTCATTCAGAGAGGAGGAGGACGGGAACAGGACATCTATTAACCAACACGCTCGTTTTCAATTGAAAAATATCCGTGGATCGAAAATAATGGTCGCCTCGCGCGAACGACCGTTTGTGCGGCAAGCACTTTCTTGAAGCAAGTGCGGCTTCCATTGCAATCTCCGTCCCGAGGCTTGCTTATGTGCAGGGAAACCGTTGTCTGATCGAGACCACCCGGATTTCGTTCCCACAGTGTTTGCGCACAAAGCACCGGCCAAGCACTCGTCGGAGGCTCGCGAGGCCCGTGCTACCAAGCAGAACGGGATCGGCGGCTGAACGGCAGTGTTGTAGGCGTTAGCAAAAAAAAAGTAACGAAATACGTTTCTCGTTTCTTGTAAATAAAAGGTACGCGTTACAGAGCTACGTTACCTAAAAATAAAAGGAACGCGTTGCCGCTACCGAGAAAAAGTAACGCACGTTACTTCTGCGTTACTTCTTAAATTATGATTTAACAGATTTTACGGTTTTGACGATTCAGGCATGCATAAGCTCATATATCAAGAAACATTATGTTCATGCAGAAACTGAACATAATTACGGTTTTACCTAAATACTCACGAGAAAAAACGCAAAGAAAAGCATAACTTAACTTCTAAAAGCACGCAAAAAAAATTGAAGTGTAATTTCTTTAAGACTTGGGAAGTAGTAACGAGTAACGTAACTACGTTGCTTAAAATAGTAACGTAAGTATGTTACCCGTTACTGTATCGAAAAATTAAAGAATAAATTACTACGTTGCTGAAAAAAGTAACGCGTTCCTGCTAACGCTGTTACTTGTAACATGTTACCGCCAAGACTGCAGAACGGACAACGCGTTACTGCTTGTCATGCCTTGTGGTCATGAGAGTAGGAAAAATACCATACCTTGACTTCAACACGCTGTGTGTATTTATTTCATTAATAAATACACTTCCACAGACCCTCAGTCTGCTGATCCCGCCGGCAGTGCGGAAACTGACTCGAAGTAATCGTAGGCCTCGAGAGACTTGTACGCCTGCACCGTGTCTTCCGTGAACTGGCTTGGCGAAAAATCTAAATAAACGAGGACGTGAGCCATCGACTTCGGTGGCAGCAACATCACGTCGGAAGTCCAGGACGCCTTGTTGACGGCGTACAGATCCTTGTAGGCAACGCCGTCCACGCAGAGTTTGTTTCGATACCGCTGCCGTTCAGGCTCGGGCAGCGAGCTCAAATAGTCGGGCATAGCATACGACATACGTTGTCAGGAAATAAGGCTCACAAATAAAGCTAGAAGTGTCCCTACAACGTCATCAATGAGCGCACGCCACACAACGCAATGGCGAAAACACGGAGAGCCGGGCCGCTTTTGCCCACATAGCTACCGCGCATGCGCGGCCTTCCGGCCGTGTTGGTAAACAGAGCCGCTCCGCGTGTAGGTCTATAGTAAAAAAAAACAAAAAAACCTTAAAATCATTTTTTTTTTATTATTTACTTACACCTCCTGCAGTGGTGCAGAAAAGTGTAGGGCAGTGTACTTCCAGTATGTGTACTGAGATACGACCGGAAGTACATTGCCTTGCACCCTTCTACACCGGTGCAGAAGGTGCAGGTAAATTGAACGAGCCTCTTGGCTGCATTGACGACCGCAAACTATTCACTTTGATTTGAAATTATTTAATTTGATTAGAAATTATTCGAACAAGGGAACCATTCACTCCGTATTCGCTTGGAAGTGAAAAATCACCGTTGGCACATCCCTACACTTGAGTCGTCTTGGTGCCTAAAATTATGCTTGCCCCTTATCCGAAGCATCGCCCGAGATCATGGGAAATGGTTTTCCGTCTTCCAGAGAAGCTAAAACAGTCCCAGTGATGCAAGTGCCAGTGATGCACCAAATTGCACCACGAACAAAAGTCTGCAACATCTTGCGCCGAAACGAAACTTTTGCTTAAAATTGCGCCGCACCTGTGCCTTGCATGGAATCTGCTCAATGAATTTATCGTTGAGAAATGGTGTTGATAACCACATATTTTTCTGGTGGAATGCATACTGTAACACCTCTTGCTGGTTACTCTAAAAAGAAATGTAAAAAAATATGCATTTTCTAAATAAAAAAAATTATGAAAGATATATTTTTTTACATTTACCAAGTTTTGCAAATTACAATTTTTCATAATAAAGGAACATGAAAATGCAAAATCTAAGTTCATAGCAACAGGTTCCATAAAATTTTGGCACATAAGCTGCAAATATTAAGTTTTGATAGTTTCATACAGAAATGATAGTTTTATTAAGGTGGGATTTCCTCCAAAATGCTGAACTGAGAAAAACACGTTCAAAGTACTTGAACATCTATCTACCTTTCCTTTAGCATCGGTGTGCCAAAAATAATTTATAAAAAAAAATATCTATGCTGTGTAAACAAATGAAACTTTCTGTGAATACTCTCTATATTGGTATTCATGTTACAAGGCGCAAAAACACGGACACAAGAGAGAAAGAGACAAAACAGGCGCCACTCACAACTATATTTGAAAAGTGCAGAAAGAAAGGAATACAATCCTCGTCATCTTCAACTCGTGCGTGGCGCCTGTTTTGTCTCTTTCTCTCTTGTGTCCGTGTTTTTGCGCCTTGTAACATGAATACCAATGTTTACCAACTAGCCCAACTACAAGTTCTTCTACTCTCTATATGTTGGTAGATGTAAATATGGCATGTTTCAAAACAACTTTTTTTGCTGAATTTTTTTTTCTTTCTGGGTAGTGTACTGTTTTAAAGATTCAACCAGTTTAGTACTGCTCAATTACAGGAGGTACTATCTCACAAAGTTGCTGCATTTCCATAAAAAAATTTTTTTTGGCTTATTAGAATTTTTTTGAACTAACCACCCACACACATTTCCCCTCATCATAATCATTCTAACAAAGTTTGCATTCCCTTTTGCTGAGACTAGTTTGTTCAAATTTTCTACATTTGTCTGGAATGGGCTTGCAAGTGAAATAACTCTCATCAGAGACCACGAGTTCCTCGTGTCCTTGCTGAGTTATTCTAAATGACTCCCCGTTCGTAAACATTTCTACCAATTGCTTGGCAACAGCGCTTCTTTTTTTTGTGTGTGTGTGAGTGATTTTGATTATTTATTGTGCATTTGTCATTTATACTTATACTGGTGTCAGTCAGTTAAATTTTTTCTTTCTGTTTTATACTGATAGCATTTGTTAAATTATGCACGTTTTATACGATACCGCCCACTATGTAATGTCCCGTCGGGGCCTTTAGGGGTAACTTAATAAATAAATAAAATAAATAATAAACGGATTGTATGCGCTTTGGTTGCAGACGACGACTGCCCCATGTACTTCGACGACGGCTCGAATCCATACCAGCTGATCACGGAACAAGCTGCCCTCCTCACCGGAGACGCCCAAGCCGTGTTTTCGAGCAGCGCCCTCTTATGGACGTTGGTCGCGTGCTGGCTCCTTCGCCATATCGTGCCTCAAGCCTAGGATAATAAGTTTGGTCTAGCATGATGCCCTGACTCACGGGTACAGGGTACAGGGTGTCACCGAAAAAATTGCATTCCTGTTTTTATCATCGCAAAAATAATGTGTGCATTGCCGAATGCCCGGTCTTCACCTGTATGTAGCACTAGTGGTGGGAGCAGATGCCAAAATTGCAGAACTAACTGTCGTCTTATACGAAAGTTACAAGTGATTTTCTGAAACTTTGTAATGGGAACATGGCTCCCATTCTCGGTAGTTTGTGCCATTTTCCCATTAAAAATTTCGAAAAATCACTTATAATTTTTTAATAAAATGATGGTTTGTTTTGAAACCTGCGCATCTGGTTTGAACCACTAGCACCACATTTGGCAAAGGCCGAGAACTTGACGATGCATAGTTGATTTTTGTGAATAAGAACACACTGCACATTTTTTGGGGGGACAACCTGCACATGCTTGGGAGCTTAGTTTGTGCCCAAAAATATGCCTATCGGCCACATGGGTGGCAGGCCTTTGTACGATCCGGTTGTGCCTCTGTAGTTTGGCACGCTGTGTTTTTGACCTGTCATTTGCTCATGCAGGGTCTGGTGGGTCCCACGTTGTGTCGGGAAGCGCACTGGGCCGAGTGACATAGCGTATGGGTGCTCTTCGGAGTGGCCGAAACTGGCTTATTAGTGGCGAACTTCAAACATCATGCGGAAGATTGACGGGCGTAGAAAGGATTGGAAGTCGGTGCCGGTTGTAAGGCTGCGGCGGATTGACCGGAAAGCTTCAGAAGCTTGGCAGGTTCTGTCCACACGCGTTGTAGTTGACGCCTCGGACGAGGATGGTCGAGATTGTGAAGCAGCCAATCGGAAGCCCTAGTGGCCAAACCTGTAATTAGCGTGTGAAAGATAGCCTAAACCAGGAAAGCATGGCTGCGGAGATACTTGGTGCGAGGTTTTTTTAGCTGTGGCATGGTCCCTCGATTGACACTTAGCAATTATGGCTAACACTGCCCCACATGTGCATCTGTTCGTTCCTGAATGATTCGGTAGTGTGGGAGCCTTAGCTGCACTTAGTAGTGGAAAATTAATTGTTATAGTTTTATATGAGAGGATATTGAAGTATGTGCTTAACCTCGGATAGGTGGTGTTGTGCCCGCAATGTTCCCGTGCAATGCCTTGCACATCCGTCCCCGTTTTTCTAGGTGCCAAGCACCGGAATATTTGTTTTACGAGTGGTATAAGCAGAAAGTATTGACTTGGAGGTCAGCATCTCATGCACATTGCCTTATCTCGTGCCTACCGTAAAATACTGAGCGTCCACCCATTTTACAATAAGCACCCACACCTCAACAAACGGAGATATGTAAAGACGTGTTCTTTGTGTATTTTCCAACCTGATTATCTCCAAATTTTGAACGGGTTGCTTGCCCGGTATTTTACTGTAGGTCCTGAACCGTAAGGGCTCAATTTTCCTCAAAAGTGCATAAGCATAGCCATGGCATGTATGACGGATCAAGATCTTTCCAAATAGTTTTGAAACCTTCGTCGAGTTTAAACTGCAAGTTTATTTTTGATACAATGCTTTGCCAGAGAAGGCAGTTTTGCGGAGGAACACTGTATCTACGAGAAAAATCTTTAAAGTGGCACTGACTTCCCAAAAGAAACATTTTTCATTGAGAGCCTGGATTCAATTTTTTTCAAGGGGTTAGCTAGGACATGTACGTCACAAATTGAACTTCTTTTGGAAAACAAAGAAAAACAGAGACTTATTTTGAACAGAAAGTCAGGGTGCAGTAGAACTGGTGGAGATTAGAAGACAAAACTCAACCCCGAGACTGCAGGAAGCAAAAACAACGCACACGCTCAAAGTCTAAGAAATGTTGAGTTTGGAGCTAATCCTAAACACATTTTTTTGGGGTCCACCGGCTCAAAATAGAAGCAGATTTCAAAATCACTCTTAACTCAAATTGTGTTTTGCAACTTAGCTAATGCAACTAACATTTTTTTTTTTTTTATGAATGTTTGTTTTGTGACGTATATGTCCTATCAATTCCCTTAAAAAGTGTTTTGGGGGAGTTAGTACCCTTTTAAGCATTGTGTATGGTGTATTCAAAGGGACTATTTTATGCTTTCACTCTCTTTGGCAGATGTGTGCAAAGGACCAGTTTTTATGCATGCACAATTTGTTGAAAGCAGTGGCAGTTTTAGTTTGTACTGTAAAAACAATGGAGACAAGAAAACCCTTGTCTTCAGAGTTTCTTGTTGTGTTTAAAGTGTGATACCTTACCACTTTGCCTGAATGTTGTTAGCCCATATGTTTACACCTTTCTTTTTTTTTTTTTTTACAGTTTCACCTTACATTGTACATTTCTACTGCCAATTAACTTCAAAACGAGATTAATATGGTCAAGCGTAGCAAAAATTGTGATGCCTATATACTGCAACATTGTTAGGTCTTTGGCCAGAATTTTTTTATCAAACCACGTAAGCTATGGCAGCTTACTTTCCTCATGCCTTTTGCATTGTCACTTTTGCATCACATTTTTTTTTTTAACTTTGTAAGGTGTATTGATGTAGATGGGTAATATTTGTATGAGTGCATGACTTGAGACCATAATGCTGTTTTTTTATTTTATTTTAATAAGGTGCCACGAGTCATCTTGCATAATGATTGACAGTGTGCTCATTTTATGTAATAGCAATAATGCACTATATTGCACAGAAAAAAACAAAAAAAGAACAATCCAGTACAGGCTTGTAAAACCATGGAGATGTTTGTGCACTGAACCTGACAACCAGCAAAGATAACTGCAGTTATACAATTTACAAAAAAAGGCAAGAAAAAGCATGCAGAACTAGAAAATACAAAAACACATTAGACCTTGGACTGCCTGTAAAACAAATGAAAAAAATCATAGTTTGTACACTGCAACGTAAGCTCTTTTTTGGCAGCTCTGTGCATCTGCTGTTGTACAAGTTCAGCTGGCTATATATTATAATATTAAGATACATAGAAAAGATCATACTCTGTCTTCATAATTTGTAAAAAAACTTTTGGTAGAATTAACATTTCTGTTCTTCTAGCCACCAGTATTTATGGCTTTCGAAGCCCAACGTGTAATGAAGGACATTAAGATAATGAAACTAGCTAAAGTCATCTAGCTCATTTTCAAACACTTACGTAAGTGAGGTTTGTTAAATTCTCAAGGTATAATATTGCCACAAATGGCAACCATTTTGATAACTTAAAAATTGCCACAAGTGATTGATACACCTCTGTTCAATTTTCTGTATTACTATAATTCACTTCAGTGTAGAGATTTGTTTTTTAGTGCTCTTGCATTTTTTCTTGGGGAATTTATTTGTCTCAACGTTTTCATTGCCACACTGGGTATATGCCATGCTTGTGGGTATATCATTGCCACGAACCCTAACACAATTTACTTCAAGCGGGTTTGCATGTTCAAAGTTTCAAGGATTTTAGCCGTTTCTAACTCCAATGTTGTGAAACTATGATGGAGCAGGTCTCATGCTGTCAGCAGAACAACATTGTTTTTATGTCCAGGTGCATTTTTGCATAGATTTTGAGGAATATCATTGTAGTTTGTCCAGGAAATCTTGAGCATTTCTATTTGTTTTCTGATTGTATTTTGGCAGTGCTGCCTTCTACCTCTAGAGAATCTCAAAGCTGAACTGTGCATAACTTGGGAATTTATTCTGTTTACATTCCACTGCTTAAGGCATTCCAACAGTTCTATTCAAGGGTTGATAAAATAGCATAGAAGAGTGTGTGGGCTTTCTGGTGTTGCAAAGTTGGTTAATTGTCGCAACATTGGGTCGGGTTCTTCGGTAGAATTTTATAACACGTGGTCACGTAATCGACCACACAAAATAACCATAGTATGTGTTAGTTGAACCACCGTGTGACTTAAGTAATGCGACAGAGTGTGCAAAAAGATGCAAGTCCCATGAACATGTTTTGCAGAGACATTCCAGTTTAATCCGGTGACCACTTTGCGGGGCGCCAGCAGCTTGGGGAGTTTTCCGTCCAATTCTCCGCAGGATTGCCAGGTTGTTGGTGCTACGTTTGTTGAGTCCATTTTGTATATGGTATACCACAATTACTGCATGTCCAGGCATATGTTAGCATACCTTTAGTGCACATACAATCGCTTTTTAATCGCTTGGATAATGCAAGTGTTGACCTCGTTGAGCGACTTCACTATTGTCAGGAAGCGGAAGAGCTTGTTGCCACTTTGTAAATTGAATGTATGTTTTGTTCCTGACCGTTTTTTCTTGCTAGTTTTTTTTTATGTATTTTGTTTGTGCATCAAAGTGAAGACTTGCTGGTTGTCTTTGGGCATGCAAAATGAAACATTAGTCTTATTATGTAGTTTCGGGTTTAGCATTCTTGGAGATTATACTCGCTGTTGGTTCTTTAATCGGAATGTTTACGGCATGTGTGCTTTGTGAATGTGTACGTGATTTCAGAATTGGTGACATTGGATGGCAGATGTAAAAAACGCTAATTCTGTGCATCAGTTCTTATCATAGAGATCCTGTGATGCCACCTGTTCTAATTAAATTGGGAATTTCGATCAAGTTGCAGGGCTGTGTACGGAACTCAGCTAGGCATTAGGCGGGAGTTATTTCTGTTGTGTCCTGTGCATCAGGGTGAACGTTAATGAAAACTGTGTACTCTACTGCCATGCTTCATACCTTTCCATTCATCCGTCCAACAGCATTTTTTTTAAGGGGTTTATTTTTTAATTGTTTGTTCAGCTGTATTTTCCTGAGAAGAGTGAATCTCATGACCTATTTTATATATCAATAAAAACAAAAACATTTGTACTTTTCATGGTGTTCTTGACTGAACTGTTTTATGCTTAAGTTTTCATTTTCAGTCCGGCTACATTGTGTAAAACGTTTTCCTCAGATTATGTCATTAATAGAGTGCCAAGAATTTATTGGGACCCATTGCTGCAGACTAAGTCAGCCTCTAGACTTGTAAGCAGATTGATAATTGATCATGTTCGAACCACAAAAAACACGTAATTAGAACCTCTTTGGTGAGAAAAACAGAGTCCCAAACTTAGGTTATCTTAGCCTAATCGTTAGCATTAAACTAGGGTGGTAGTTTATTTATGTGCTGCAAACATTGTGGTGTGCTCTTCTTGCGAATGCCATGTCGGAGAGGAGCAATCCGAAAACCAACATGGTGGGTGTCATACTCAAAATCCCATTGTCATGCAGCCGGGTTTATATTGGACAATCAGGAAACTGCGTCAATGAGAGAATGCGTGAACATGCCCTTTCTCTGCGGTCAATGACAGGAGGTCACTTATACATACACTGCCAGAGACTGCTTGTGTCACCCTGTCTTCAAAGATGCCATAATCATTGGCAGGGGGTGCACAAAAGTGCAAAGAGAGGTGCTGGAGGCACATGGCAATAGAAAAAGCTGGCTCGGGGCACTGCGTCAATCGGCCTTCGGTTTATCTTCACAAAAAAGAGATTTTATAGATGCCTGATAAGCGACACGCCATTGGTTGTTTCGGCGTTGGTTGGCTTTCTGGTGTTTTCTTGTTTGAGCCGTTTTTAATAAAACTTCAGTTGATAATCACCGCTTGTCCTGTGCTCTTCTCTCGTTGTCCTTGTCTTTTTTGCTTGCTGTTCCCAATTTCTTAAGTGTAAGCACTAATAGTCATGACAATTTTCATTTTGAAATGTGCCTCTAGTTATGCATCTGTGAAATTGTGTAAAATGTGAAATTAAGTTATATTTAAGTTGGAGTTGAATTATCTTAATTTCCCAAACATCACATTATGTTCAACATCTTATGAGGCTAGCTGTCAAAGCTAAAAGTCATAATCTTCCATGGAAAAAAAATTGGGCAGGAGTAGGTGAACTATGCAAAAGATTTGTACAAAAGGCTATTCTCTTGCTGTACCATAAAACACCTGTAAATCATTCAAATTAGTGCTTATCTGTGTTTTTATCTGATTTGTGATATTTAATTCTAGCACATTGTTATGGAGTTTAATTTACTAGGGGTTGTCCATCACCAGATTAGAACAAATTGAGAGTTGACCCCGGGCTGTCTACGCGCGCATCGTCGTCGTCTTTGGTGGGTTCTGGCATGCACCTCAGCCGCATCGCTACAGTATCTTTTTTACGTCCCCGCAAATTTTTCCAAAATTTTTAAATTTTTATTTTAGTTGCAAAAATAAATTTTGCATTGCCAAAGACTCATTTTCTGCCCAATTGTAGCGCTTGCAGTCCAAACCAGACGCCAAAGTTTCAAAACTAACCGATAAGTCATTTTATGAAATTTTGAATGGGAAAATGACGACTGAGGGAGCTTTTGAATGCATCGAGCAGAATGGTACCAATTATAATATTCAGAAAATCACTCGTAACTTTTAAAGGAGACAACATTTTTGAAACTTTGGCATCTAGTTTGGACTGCTTGTGCTACATTTGGACAGAGGATGAGCGTACGGCAATCCATATGGTTTATTTTTGCAATGAAAGAAACTAATTTTTAAGGTGAAAACCTTCAAAGGGAAAAGTCGGCATTGTGCCCGAAAGATGGCCATAAAAATACGCCATCAAGCACGCGCCGCTCAAATTTAAAGCAGACGCGCCTCAGAAATAAAACAAAGTAAAGCACAGCAACGCAGATGCTTCGTCACAGAAGCCGTGAAGCCAGTGGGGGCGCCGCGCCTGCGCAGTGGGGGAGCGTGATGTCACTGCCGGAGCACCGTGTGCAAAGGGAATACGTGACGCGCTGCCTCCGGCACGTCGCTTGCTCTTCGTACTTCAACTGTGCTCATTGTGTGCTTCGTGCGATGGACTGTGAGGCGACCGCATCTACATCTACGGCCTTGGCATCGGCAGCAGCGTCTACATGTTTGGTGGCTTCCGCAGGCAAACATGGCCGCCCACACAAATATATGGCACAACCGAGGAAGCATGCCAACGAATATGCCAACACACGCCAAATACAATACCGGCAGAAACAACTTTAATATGCGAAGAAACATTACTTGAAAACATTTTGCCTGCTGGACCATAATGTGTAGGAATGCTTTTGCATTCCTACACCTTATAGTCCTATGGACTGCTTACGTGTAGGATCGCTTTTGCATTCCTACATGTAAGCAGTTTTAAGTGTCTTTAGCATGTTTTTTTTGGGGGGACACTTATTACTGCTGCTGCATTGAAATGTGACCATTTTAGAGGTAGCTTTAAAGGGATACTACAACGAAATTTCGGCGCTTATCTTATGGGCTATATGTGTTCAAAGGAGCAGTATCATATCGAACACACCAATATCTTGTTAAAAAAGTAACGAAAAGGAATTTTAAAACGAACTAAACGATTAACAAAGAGCACCTGGTGGATGTCGCTAATGCCTCGTTTGTAATGCCCGTCTAGGAACGTTGACAGCTAGTGACGGTGGTTGTCTTGTGTCCGGCTACGACGAGAATAGAGGGGCAGGAGGAACTCCCCTCTTCCCGAGAATGCCTTTTGTGTGTCGCAGGAGTCGCTATTGTCCCCCTACAAGATTATAGAAGATTAACCCGTCACTCAAAATTTGTACAAAAGCAGCCGCTTCGGTGGCTGGAACGACTAGGCCTTCCCCTCGACGTCAGCCTCGCCGTAGCTTTGCTCGTCCTGATACAACCTACGTCACGATTGCGTCGGATGTCACGTGCTCTAAGCTGGGCCTTCTCCGAGCGCTTGCTAGAGTGGGCCATTTATAACAAAAAATGCATCCACCAGGCTCAAAATACAAATGTGCGATTGTCATTTACGGATATTATAGATCATATTCAACCTATTTTTGAACACGACGGATATATTTCAAATTTTGTTGAAGTATCCCTTTAAACACAATCCAAACCAATGTGTTCTTTTGCGTGCATAGGCTGTGCAGCTCCCGGAAATTGCATATTTCGTTAGGTCGCGCTGATTCCGTGTGACTTCCGGGAGCGTATAAGAAAGTTGGATATTTTCAACTTTTTCTGAAGGCGCACGCAAACGTGCTGTGACGTGATAGGCGCACCTGTCTCTTGGCCAATCGGTGGAGGGCACTAGTTCCAGCTTCCCGTTTCTTCGCTACTACGTCACATTGCGTTTTTGATGGGCTGCCGAAAGGCGCATGGAATCAGCGCGACGTCACGAAATGCGCAATTTCCGGTAGCCGCACGGCCCACGCAGCCTTCGCGTGCACAAGAACGCGTTAGTTTGGATTGCGCGGCAGTCTTACGGAAAATCCCACGTGATCTTGGGGAGAGAGAAAAGCAGGACTTTCTTTTCACTTTAGCAGAGCGAACACTAGAGAGGAGGGGATCCACCTCCTTTCTCTGCTAGAATAAAGAGAGTGCTGGAGCGCTTTGCGGGATGAGCTTGACCTGGTCGCAGAGCGCTCAAGTGAAAGCAATGACTAAAAATTCGGAAAAAAATGAAAGCCGTTTACAGCTCCCTGTAACGCCGGATTAGAGCGCAGCTCTTGAGGAGGAGGAGGGAAGGGTACTGAGGGATAAGATGGAAGGATGAGGGATAGGTGACTTCCGAGCGGGGGTCACGTGAACTCAGAGAGGGGTCAGGTGACCTCAGTGGGGAGGTGAGATGACCTCAGGGTGCTCACGTGACATCAGGGGGGTCACGTGACCTCGGGGGAAGGTCACATGACCTTGGGGGGGGGTCACATGAGCTCAGGGGGGGGGGGGGTCACGTGACCTCACAGTTACGCCGACGCCGCTCAAGCCGGAAACAGGTGCCGAAGAGCTGCGCTCTAAAAAGAAACTAGGATTGTTTTAAGCAGGAAACATTGAGTGGCGTAATTATTGCCGGGGGAATACACATTTGTATAGAATTTTACAAAATGATGAGACACGTATAGTGATGGGACACTGCAAAGTAGATCACTGATCATGCAACCTACAATAACGAAGACACAAGGGAAGTGGCAATGACAATCGTAGGTGGTGTTAACACATGTAGTTAATGTCGCTTCCATCGAATGACATGTGATCAGCGAGTGGGCTCGCGAATCACACATTGTCTGTCATTTGATATGGAAATGATATTAAATTAGCTGTACGGTAAGGGCAGTATGGGTATTAAACTTGCAGACAGTTTGTAATCAGCTAATGCACTTCTAGCACCCGGGAGAAGAATGCTGAGTCACTGAACTGTTGAAGCATGCGCGGCGTCACATATTTTGTGGAAGAGAGCTGCTGCTGGCGCTCAGGACGCCTTCCACGGCCCAGTAGACGAAGTTGGCAGCGCGAGTAAAGACAGTAAAATAACATTATTAGAAATAACCACACGCTAACAAACAGCTGGTTCAGAAAACTAATATGAAATACTAATATATAAAAAAAAAGCAGACCCGCATTTGTAGTTTTTGTTACTAAATATAGGTGGCGGAAGCCGCCAACCAATCTATAAAACACCTCGGGCACCCCACACTGACCATACATACGGCTCTGACCACACAACAAACCTCCATATATACTTATTACTTCCGTCTTCCGCCTTCCGCATGGTCTTCCGCTACTTTCGTTATCCCGTTCAATCCTGTTCGAGGTTCGGATCCGATTTGGATTATCTCTTGCACTTTGATCGGGTTGGTGTACACCGCGGTTTGGTGCCAGCAGTCCGAACAAACAGATTTCATGCGTGCGTGAGAAGGAAAAGCTACTGAGGGAACGACCAGCGTTATGAGTGCCGAAGCCGCGACGACAGAACCGCCGGACGCCTCCAGTCGAGATATGGAGTCGGTGCGGTTCTCCTCCAAGGAGGGACTGCAGCTCGACACTGGCAGCTCGAGTACTCTGCAGGAGCAAGCCGACTTCCCAGATGTGAGTGTTTGGGAACTTTGGGCCGTCCGTCTGTCCACCCGATCGGCGCGCTAGCGGGCGGCTGCTGGCACTTGTAGCGCCTAGGTGTCGGAAAGTTGGTAACGCTGTCGACAGTGCGGTGCGGCGAGTAGCAGCTGATCGTTACTACTTTGACGGTGTTTTGATTTTTGTATATATTTTTTTTACTAAAGTGCTAAGTTTCTAATTTACATGATAGTCTGTGTCCAGAGCAAAAGACAAAAACAACAAACCGAGAACTCGAATCAAGTAAAGCGTCACCAGTAAGCTGACGAGCCCAAAGTTTCCCCGACAGTGTTTTTAAGTGGTATTCTTTGTCAAAGTGTAGCCAAGAAGATTTCTGCCTATCAACGGCTGATTGTCGTAGTTGCAATGAAGTGTTACGCCCCCTCGGTTATTCTATGGGTTGATGACCATCATGTCATGGTTGGTAGGGCTCACTGTTGGGGATAAAACTTTCCCAAGTTCGTCTGTGGTCATTTCAGCAGAAGAGGGTTTCTGACACCAACAGCATCCCGCCATGCGGTTACCATCGTGAGAGGCCGTGCCATATTCAAGTCGACCCCACGCCATGAAGAGGTGTCCTTTTGCACAACATATGGAGTTTCCCCAGCTCACCGGCTACCACCATCCAGCTCAACCTTTGTGGCTTCAGTGGCCATGGCCTTCTTGTTTCACCCTGACACCTAGTATATGCGTACTCAATCTATTCCTCCTACACTATCTCCCTGGAAGCTGCATATAGCATTGTAACCGGACATTTCATAGAACGCCGTTTCATAGAATGCAATTTCTTCGAACGCCGTTTCTTCAAACGCCGTTTCGTCAAATGCCGTTTCATTGAACGCCGTTTCATCGAACGCCGTTTCATCGAACGCCGTTTCATCGAACGCCGTTTCATCGAACGCCGTTTCATCGAACGCCGTTTCATCGAACGCCGTTTCATCGAACGCCGTTTCATCGAACGCCGTTTCATCGAACGCCGTTCCATCGAACGAACGGAGTATCATCGAACGCCGTTTCATCGAACGGCGTATCATCGAACGCTGTATCATCGAACGCCGTTTCATATATCGAATGCAGTTTCATTGAATGCCATCTCATTGAAACAGTTTCATTGAACGCTGTTTCATTGGACGGTTTATTTGAAGTAAAATAGCTTGCACAAGTTCAACTATGCAACGATAAATAACAGCACACAAAGAACAGGAGACAACCTAGATCTGCACTTGTGGGTTCTATGTGTCTCTCCTGTTGTCCTGTCCTTTGTGCACTGTTATGTCGTCTCAATTCCAACTGTCCCGACTCACCACATTGCTCCAAAGATAAACATGTGTAACATTTTTCATACCCTCATTGTTGCAAAGTGTAATAATTTATGGTTTCTGGTTTGAGGTTTGTCACTTCCATCCCTTGCAACTTTGGATCGTCTGTTGTTTTTTTTTTTCTTCTTCTTTTTTTAATTCCGTGCGTGCAAAGATGGGCTACCCGTATTTTGTCGGGTTTCTAGACTGATTGATGTTTCAATGAAGATTCCAAGGCTTGGGGTTCGTTGCATACTCTGTGCTTGGTTAGTTTGGTCGGTGACACTACACGCACAGAAGGACGACCAATTCCGTGACGTTGCATTTTATTGCGCTCCTTGTTTGGGCCCCATCAGTCGTAGTGCCAGCTGCACTTTGGATTATGGTGAAACAAGGTATAGGTCTCTTTGTTTTGTTATACTAAAAGTGATAGGCAAGAAAACTAATTCAATGGCTTGACGAATGGATTGCCTTCTTTCTAGTTGACCTCGGGCTGTCATACAGTTCAGTCCAAAGCTTATACGGCGAGCAAGCATTCTAAAATGTGTCGTTGGCACATCAGAAGGCAGCACAAAGAATGTGTAGGGAATGCGCGATGATGAAGCAGCCAAGCTCGCCTCGTCATTCATCGAGGTGGGGGCGGGGACGGGACAAATACTCGAGGTACGCAAGGAGCAGACAAACTTGCATGCCTTATAAGGTTGATGATTGCTCTGATTTTATGGAAATCTTCACCTTGAAGGCCAAAACTCTGTTTAGAACCTCTTTGGGAGAGGGAGAGTAGGATAATAGCACCTGCTGAAAGCGTGCTGGGGTAAACCATCTGGAATGGGAATGTATTGGCCCACAAGTTCAGCAATAAGCATGCCTATGCTTTGTTTTTTTCTTTGAGCAAATTAAAGATAATCCAAACAAAATATGGGCTGCAAAGAAAGTGTCATCCTTTAGTTAAGCAAACGTCATGTGCGTTAGAAAGTATGGAAAAAGAATGGGCGATAAAACGTAAGAGTTGTCATCAACCGGCAAAAGACCCTTGTAGGGAGGCACCTTATATGTTTTCATAACATATTGCACTTAAGAAACTAGCGATAAAAAGATTAGATGAAATGGCTGTATGCAGTTCAATAAAACAGTGTTCAATACAACAAATTTTTTTCTTTTTTTCTCTGTAAAACATGTAATGATTTGTTTGGGAACAAGTTGCTGGTCAGTGCACGTGCGTGGATGTCAGCAGGGCTTTCATTGAAGACTTCAGCTATTCAAGCTTTGAGAAACACTTCCACACTTCCCTATTTGAGTACAGACAAATATGGATTTAAAGTAATTAGTGCTACCAGAGGTGATAGGCTTTGCATATTGTTATGGTCATCTTCCAGTAAGGGACATTTACTGCTGGCTCCATGGTTGGGATTTTTGCCACCTTAGACACTCGCATTGAAAGAAATCTGAAGCATTCATATTTCTTTCAACGCGAGTCATGGGCGTGCCAACCGGGTGGAGGCAAGGGGGGCGCTTGCCCCCCTCTAGTTCTCTGAGTGGGGGTGACAAGGCATGTGTTTTGCCCCCCCCCCCCCCCCCCCCCCCCTGAAACAGCCGCCACTGTGCAGGGCAGACACTGGCCGGCGGCGCCCAAGGGATACCAAGGGCACCGCCCCCGGCCCTGGGGGAAGTGTCTGGTTTATCCCCCCCCCCCCCCCCCCCCCCCGCTTAAGAACAAGTTGGTACGCCACTGACACGAGTGCTCTCTCAACAAAGAGTGAATTCAAGAAGCTATATCTCCCTCTTTCATTGACAATTAGAGCTAGAGCATTTCCACACTGAAATAAATTTGTTTCAGCATCCTATACAAAAAGTAGAAGAGATTAACTCCTCTGGTCAGATCTGAAAGGTCAGCAACTAAGGCTCTGAGTTCCATTGTGTTTATTGAAATAGGCTACAAAATTGGAGGACAAGTCACAGCAACCATGTGGTGTGGTAAAGCAGTGGCAGGTGCAATGGCTTAATCCAAGTCAAATGGGAGTCAAATAATGATTTCATTACTTTTTGTCATTAACATGAGCTTGAAAAAGACTCGGTTACACATAGCCAATCAATGATTCTTTTGCATTGGGCACAGAGTATCTAAATACTTAATAAAGTCACTGTCAGCTACTAATATTGATTGATTGTTGTGGGCATTGAGTAACTAAGCACTCTAACCAAATATCTTTGACTTAGAGGGACTGTTACTGAGTGGTTACTAGTTAACTTTGCTAGTTTCTTTGATGTAATTGCTCTGTTCCATCACACTATTGGCAAATGCTTGTAATAAAAACCATCATTACTGCCCATACCATGTCTCAGCGAGGTGATAAGCCTTTTAAGTTTATAACGACAAACACAAAGTTTGTGTCTAAAAAGTCTATTGGCGACTCCAGCGAAATCAACGGCACCTATAGTGGCTAGAACAGAAAGCTGTGGTGGCAGGTTCGCTCACCAGCCAGCCAGCTCGAGAGAATCGGATATTCACAGCACCTGGCTGTCTAAAGACAAAGCCGTGAAAGTAGGTTCGAGGACATGGGACGAAAATCGCCGATAGTGAGGAATGAAGAAGTTGCGGACAGTCCCTGGTATGTCTGGGCACAGCAGGCTAAGAGCTTCTAATCGGTCCATTTGACGATTATTCAGCTTTGTAAAACGCATTCAAAGTATGTTGCTGCAAGAGGGACCCACAGAACATTTCCCTGCCTTGCCGAGATTTGCTCTCTTTTTTTCTCCTCTTTTTTCTATATTCTTTTCAAAGGTAGAAAATAAGCCTTGAAGTGAGCAGAAGAGAAAGAAGGGGTGGTTGCTTCCTTTTTTTTCATGGGAGGAATTGGGAAGGGGTTCCTCCTTTTAGATTGCAAGTTATCCTTTAGAACAGAAGCCTATCTTTCTTATAAACAAATACAAGCGAAGTTTCCCTTTATAGTTGACAACAGATATATTTGTTCATGGTAAGTTCCCAGATGCAGTTATACATCTGAAAAAGCATTAGCAATATTAGATACCAGTGATACGGTACCAACAGTTATGCCAGCAGTGGCAATGCATACTAGTAATGACATGTTGGTGAAACTGCCATCATAACACAGTCGATTCGGAAAGTCAGAGGAAAATGTAGCTCGAGCCCGATCGGACAGACAAGGAGGCAGCTGCTCAAAGCTTTGAGATTTGGTTTGGACACACTTCTAGACACAATGAAAATGATTTCCTAATAATCGCTCCGTTGGAGCTTTATGGCAGGCAGATTTCTGATGTTCATATTGGGAGGAGAACGATGGAGATGGTTCGTTCTTGATCTTTGAAAGCATTCCTTTCTTTTTTTAAATAAAGAAGGCATTTATTACTCATTTTTCGCAGCCACGTCCAAAGCCGACGCAGAACACGTAACGTTTGAGAGGTAATAAGGTGTTCGACGGCACATGTTTGTTAGAACATTATAACCCACGGCATTCTTTTCATTAATGAAGATGTGCCCTAGACACCTAAACTACTATGCGCTCAAACAGACATTTGAGCTCATGGCCGCAGGGGGTGAGATGACCCAACCGACATCCAGTCTCCAGCTTCACATTTATTTGAACTGGTCCTCTGGTTTCGATTTAACTTCTTTTATTTTTATAGCGAATGCTCTATTTTACAAAGAAATATGAGTGGTTAGTGTCTTAACTCCTTTACTAACACTTTGCAGAAAAAATTGTCTGGCTTAGACATTCTTCAAATGCAATCAAGGTGCGATAGCACTCAATTGATTTTCTGATGAGTAGTAATTTCCATCAGAATGAGTGGATATATTTCCCCACTGAATTGTGCGAGGGAATTGTGACGAGACCTGGACGTGGCACCATGATGATTTCCCGCTAAATTTAGCAGGAAAATTGATGTCATGTTATCTCGGGTCACATATGGCACCTTGATGTCATATGACACCTTGATGTCATATGACACCTTGATGTCATATGACACCTTGATGTCATGACACATTATGTCATGCGATGACATAATGTGACCTCGGGTGTGACGTCAATTTCCCCGCTATATTTAGCAGGGAAGTTGATGTCGCATGACATGACGTCGTGTCACGTCAGATCACGTTACACCGTCTGATCTTGCAAACATGTCATGTGTGCTTGTATCATAGGACACCATGATGTCACATGACCATGTTATGTGACGTCACATGATGCCATGACATCACGTCTTTTGACCATGTCATGTGATTTCGGGTCACATGACACCAAACCTTAAAACTTTGACATGAATTCACCCGCTAGTGCGTGATTGTTGTTGCATAACACCATGACGTCACGTTACATTGTAATGTTCTGTGTCATTGTGAAGTAATGTGGTCGGAAAAACACAAGCATGAAAGACCTGTGGAGGGTTTCCATATAAAGCTATCACTTTTAAAATAAATAATAGTTTTTCTTGGTGCAGGCTTTTTTATACTTTTTTCACAACATGTACAGATATCGCTTTTTCCCTTCGACGACACGTGCGCCAATCTGCGCCTCGTTACGTTACAGCTGCCCACACCGTCGGAAGGCAGTGTCATCACGCCGGATGCGTCGATGCTCAACTACTTCCAGTTCGACGACAGCTTTGCCAACGACCTGGACACCCGGGACCTCATTGTCAAAGTGGACAACCCGGAGAAGCATTCAGGCACGCTGGATTCCTACGTCACGTTCAGAGTCACCACCAATGTGAGTTGCTGGAAGTGCTTGGGGACAACCCTTTTGACCATTGAAGCCAAGGTCATGCGTAACATACCTTAAACCTGGGACAAATGCCAGTGTGCTATCGTACCGCAGTTCAAAGCGCTTGGAGTGAATTCTCGCACCGCAGAACCCAGGAATCCTGGGATCAATCCCCACCCCTGCCCGTTTCGATTTGGATGAGTATCATACCAGCATGCAGTCATGTATCACTACCGTTGTGGTGCACGTTAAAGACGTTAGGCTAGCAATCGTACTGCACTGGCTCAATTTCTCGTCTACAGCGTAAACCAGTGTCGCCGCACCTCAAAAGGACACCGACCTTATGCTATTGGGCAGGAGATCAAACTATAGGGGGTGCTCTGACCCGTTTGTTTCCCTACACCTCGGTGTTTACTCAACACAAGGCCTGTGCACATGCCTATAGGCCTTATGGGCATGTCCATGTCATCTTCTACAATAGAGCGCGGGGCACAGTTTAATGTAAAAAAATACTAACAATCGACGAAGCGATGTTGAGTGCCGGGTCTGTCCTCAGAGAATGTGAGCTTGACCCACTTGGGCTTTTGTACTGAGCCGGGACCGTGCATGCTGCATTGTTCACGCAGGCCGGAGTGAAAACAAAAGAGCCCCTCCTCTCCTCCACCGGAGAACACAAACTCCAGCCGAACGCTGACGCCGCGTTCGGATATGTCGGCCGAGCGCTGAGTCATTGTATTTGTTGTCCCCATCCGTGTAATTCTAAAGTTAACCGCTTGGGCCGTCAGGGTCGCTCCTCCTCCCCAATATAAACACAAACATCAACTTTGTTTTTTTGGGAGGACAAATGCCAGTTTCATAGATAAACAGATAGATAGATATCCTGTATTTGAGTTCCTGCCAATGGCTATGTAGCCTGGGCAGCAGTGCACTGTCCCGAGGAGTAACAAAACAAGCAAGTTACAAGAAAATGTTCACTTTCACTAGCAAAGTATTGTGTGTCTGTTGTAGACGTGTCGTGGGGCTAGTGGCTCGCACATCGGGATAAGAGGTGTCACGGCACCTGGAAGTTTGCCCCGATAATACATGAAAGCAGCTCCGTCAACAACTCTGCGCATTCGACACAGCCACGTACAACTTGGCGCAGGGAATACATATCTTTTTCAATCCTTCGATCGTGCAGCGACAACAGACCGAGGTCCACCAGTAGAGTATTGTAGCCGCAAAAGCGATGGCGGCCAATGTGCCTATTGTATAAAATTAATATAAATTTACTTTGAACATTTTCAATTAAATTCCTGCGTGACACCACGACAGAGTTCCATGGCACTGGTGAGAATTCGAGGTGCCATCTAGCAAGTGCACAATACAGGCTTAAACGACATTCAGAAATACAAAAATTTTCTCGTAAACCGCGAAGTGACACCCAGGTTCCGTGGTCCCTGGTTAACAACTCATGAAACATGTATTAGATGAATATCTAATCCAGAATCTACAAAAACACCAAGATCATGCACGTGAAGTACTCACCTTATTTGTTCATAAGAAAGAGAATAGTCGAAAACTAGGCTCTCCTTCCTAATAAGAGACATTAACAGTGTCTCCTTTAGGTACAGTTGCAGCCTATTAATCAAACACCATTGCTCAAGAGAGCGAATTTCATTTTGTACCAGTAAACAGTCATTCTTATTGTCTGCCTTGCAGAACAGTTTTAAACGTTATTGAGTTTCTAATACATGATGGTAAATCATTTACAAACCCCAAAAACAAGAGCGGTCCTAGGTTAGTACCTTGTTGTATGCCAGATAAGGATGCAAATGGCTCGGACACACAGTTTGAAAATCCAGCATGATTTTGGCAACTATCGAGGTAGCTCTTAAACCATGTGCAATACAGCGAACATAATCAACACCTCCTAGAAGAGAAGGCCAGAGCGCTCTTCTTGTGACGTCGCAAAGAAAGGCCATCGGGGGCGTGCGTCAAAGCGAAGGCAACGCGCGTGGATCGACCGTCGTGACGCGCTTTTAGTCACATACGGGTCTTTTATTATCTAAAATGAAAGCTACACAGAGCAAGGGGTCTAGAAAATGTTTTATTACGTGGGCAAAATATTACACCGCTAAATAATCGGTATGAAATGGTACGAGGTGGGCGTATAACAGAAAACATTGAGTCACGCAATTATTGCTGTAGGAATGCATATTTTATGCAAAAGTGCTTCGACAAAATGGCGGGATACGCAGTGATTGGACACAGCAATACAGATCACAGTTAAAAATCAGGTAGACGTAGTCAACGCGGACACGGCTAGACAAGCGTCACTTACGATCACGTAAGCGATGTTATTGCATGCACTCACTGAATTCTTGCATCATACCCCGGCCACATGGCAAAAGTAATGTAATTTCGATCGAATGACTTTATGGGGTCAACAAATCAGTTTGCGGCGCTTGTTTAATCACTTAAGACAGTAGATGATTAAGTCCCATATCATTTAATGAAAATATATTAACTTTTCCTTGTGGCAGGGGTACTAAACTTACTATTTACTGTCAACTAATTTATTTCTCCCTATGGGGCTCAAGCTGCCTTAGAACAAAGTATAACTTATTTTGTACACAATAATACTACTACCTTCATAGAGTATAAGCACGGTAAAGGCAATAAAATAACATTAGTATAAATAAACACATAAGCACAAACAACACACTTTGTATAATCACACAAACTTGTTATTAACCTTCCAGTGAAAACTAGAATATTACTACGCATATTTACAAATGTCGACGCAATCCCACTCGGATAATGACTAACAAGATGCCATTCTATCACGAAAAACAAAAACGAAAAAACAACCCGACTTCAGCACCGAAAAACAAAAACAAAAAAAAACAATTGATTGCAGCGCTTTACTTGCGTCTTACATGACCAAGAAAGCCCGTAAATAAGTTGTTTCTCACCTGTCAATCGTATCCATACATCCGTGACGAAAACATTTGAACACAAACTTTAAGTCTCTCTCTCTGTCGAGAGAGAGGTCTATCGATAATCGACCAATGTCATCGTTGGCCAGTTGCCACATGCATGTCACTCAAACCGAAGCAGGACTTGCTCCGCGAATCCACGTAAATGCCGTAGTATCAAGCGAACACAAAAAAACTGCTCGAGTCTGCGGTGACGACCGAGAAACGACTGGAAGGATCAAAAGAACCACACAAACACACACACGCACACGCGAGAGCGGCGGCAGCAGTGTGGGAGGCTTAACGTTGTCGACCCATCTCTTGCTCGCGTGCTCTCCCTGCGGCGATGACTGGATTTTTTTTCGGTTCCTTTTCCTTCTGAAAGTCTCAGCGTTCCTTTTTAGACAGTTGGCAGCTCCCACACAACGTAAATTTACCAGAATCTGACCCCCTACGAGGCAAGATGTCGCAAAGGAAATTCAGAGCCAGTTCATTCGAAAAGTGTGGGGATCTGCGGGTCTGCGCGTAGTCCCGCGGTTACGGGGATAATCATAAATATAAAATTGACACTTCCACCCTTGGTAGCGCATTGTATATTATGGTTATATTATATATATAATAAATTGTACAATTCTGCGCTTTTAAAACATATATTAATGTCGGATAAACTCCCACGAACACCCCGTGCCATTTGACGAGAAACATTTTTTTTTTTCATGTTGATTCCAGAAATATTTCTCATGTAGTTGCGCCATGGACTTCCTTCTCCGACATTGTGACGTAACCACTTGGAGCGCAACGGCATTCTCTTCTAGGAGGTGTTGACACAAATCACATTCTTTCAATTGCATCAAAAATATCTGGTGGTCGACCTTATCAAATGCCTTTGTCATGTCAAAATTAATTGTGTTCACCTGACTGCGGTTACATATGGCGGATACGCTGTGACCGAGGAAAGCAGTTAAGTTTGTTTTTACTGATCTGCCTTTAAGGAACCCGTCTTGTACAGGTGAATATTTTTAGTTTAAAATGGAAATACAAATGTTTGTAAACCACCATTTCAAAAACCTCTGAAAATCCTCAAAGAAGGAACACAGTGCAGAACTTATTGACATCACAAAATTCCCAAACTTTAAAACAGATATTACAACTGACATTTTCCAAAGAGAAGGGTTGGCCTCATTTTGCAAAGACAAATTAAATAATGTCAAGACAAGGACAAGTATTTCAGCACAGCCTTTGCTTCAATAATAAAAGCAGGAATGCCATCACTGCCAGTTGAGAGTTTCGGTTTGAGTTTTCATACAGAGCACATCACTTTGTCCTCTGTTACAGTTTGGTATACCAAACAGTCGGAAAAACAGGGGGCATACTATGAGGTTTCGAAAAACATGAGCTAAAGTGCTCAGCAAATGTCTGGCACAGTTCTTGTGGTTTGAAACAGATCTTGTCATCATATTTCAAAACAGCAGCGCTGACATTATCTTTGGTTTGTAACCGTGCATAACACCAAAAGCAGCTTGGTTCTTTTTAAAGTTCTCCTCCAAGTGACCGTGATAGCATGCTTCATCTCTGGTACAACTCCTATTTGTTATATTAATCCCGAGAGATAACCCACCTAACATCAAGAGCAAATCAGGTGAAAATATGGAGTGGCCTAACTTTCGGTGCACAATGAAGAAAATTTTAAGACATTACTATTTTTAGGTCATGTTCCTTTCAAGCTTGTTATGGTAACTGTACTTCCCAGCTAACAACGTTCGCTTATATTCCACCATAGCTAACTAGCCGCATTTACGCCGAGGTCATTATTGACCCCAATACTACTATTATTAGGAGTCTGGGGGTATCTTTCGGTGTTTAAAAAAAAATCAAATCAAGCCAAAAATAGGGGTGGGCTATCTTTCGGGGGTGGGGCATCTCTCGGAATTTTACAGTAGTCATAATGCACTGTGCTCGAGAAAGAGGGCACACATGCATCCTTCCATTATGCACATACTCGCTGTGTCAGATTACCTACATGCCAGTACGGTATTTTAAGTACAACCTTCTCGAAGCATGAAAGTGGTCACCGACATTTTGCTAAAAACTTTGTTCGTACATGACTGCTAATTGTTCTGTGAAAACGTTCTCGCTTGCTAGTTTTTGTTTGCAGCGGTGGAAAAGAAGTTTATGCATGTAGCATTCACATCCCCAGTGTTGTGTAAGCTGCTGCAGCGACGCTAGACAATGAAAATTTTTTTCTTCATTAAAGGGTAACTGCAAAGAAGAAAAAGTGTTTTTTTTTTAAACAGCCTAATTTGGGACAAGCATGTCACAAAACAAATCTTCCGCAAAAAAAAAATTTTTTTTTCTGGCAACATTTACGCCATGGGACGTAATTTAGTTGGGGTCACAACTGTCACAACTTCTCCACATTTAAAACTCCCGCTCTTTCGACAATAGCAGCCACTCTGTGACATATAATACACACTTTGTGGCATGCGGTTTAAAACGGAAGAAATAGCTGCAAACTAAGATCAGTCTCGCGCAATAAATATTGCTGTAAAAAATTTTGTTTTTGGCAGAAACATTGTTTCGTGACATACTTGTCCCAATTAGGCTGTTTAAAAATACACATTTTTTTTTTGCAGTCATATTTTTTTTTATTATCCGAAACGATTGAAAACGATGCCGGGACTTACCCTCAAAATTTGAAACTTGGGAATTCAGTATTTGTGAAGTAAAAAAACAATTTCCAAATTCCGAATTCGAAGTTCCCGCGGGATCCGCGCCGGTGCGTTGACGTCGAATATTGCGGACTCCTGAGAGCCCACTTTCTTTCACGACTCCCTGCTGTTGCCATGGCGACCCAAAGGAAAGGAGCGAGTGCCGGCGGACCGGTTTTGAGCTGTGTCGCCTGTTTTCCGTGGGAGGATACAAATCCAGGAGACGGCACCACAACGAACTTCCAATTTTTGGTATTTCAAAAAGAAGGGCCGTAGTGCGTTCGCAATTGCGTTAAAAAACATGTTTTAGGACTGCCGTTATTAAGTGTTAAAGAGATGTCGCCTACAAAGCTTCTAAATTTTATGATTCTTGACATCACGAATCAAAAGAAGTGAGGAGGCTGGAGGCGGGAGGATCAAACGCCAAAAATAAAAAGGCGGGCGCGCGCGGAAAAATTTTTTTTCGCGATGCGTTTTTTTTTTTGCGTGTCTATGACTGCAACTTGCATTGTTTTAGGCAATAAAAAATATATACAACCTTTGGGGTGTCAGTGCCCCTTTAACATTAATTTTTTTTTGCGTTTTGAAAAGCTTGCAGTGGCTACTGTGTGAAAATGAACTTAGAGCGGGTTGGTCAAGATGATTTGAAAAACACGAAAGAATAAGCTTCGTAGGGATGAAGACAGACAGTGCAGTCCGTTCAACTAGCAACCGACACTTCATTTAACCGATTGACATTTAATTTAACCGACGAATATCTAAACAACCGACACAATAAATGTCGGTTGCTAGTCGAAAGAACCGTACAGTCTGTCTTTGTCACCTACATGTTTTATTCTTTCGCGTTTTTTGAGTAAAAAAGGCTACTATATGTTTGTATTTCCATGAAAATCTAGGGAGACAATAGAGCATATGCGAAACGCACAGCGCCATCTAGTGGAGCTTCAAAGAATATGCTCAGTCTCACCAATTGGCTTTGGCACTGCCAAAGGCCAGGGTGTGAAAGCATAGTTTTGAAAAATCCTTCGGCTTGCACAAGCACTTGCGCAGAGAAAGCGCTTTTGAAAACCAGGCGCCTGCACCCTCGCCTTTGCCGGCACTCAAAGCCGAATTTCGAGCGAAGTGTACGTCTGCCACGTTGGTTGCTGCGAGGAACCGGCGACCGGCCGGGCGACGAGTACGTAGATGCACAAGGAGAGCGTAAGACGGTAATAACCCTCAGCATGCAGGTGTGGGTGAGGGTTGAGGACGGCGAGCAGCAGGCTTCGGTCGTTACGGACAAAGCCACGAAATTTACAGATGACGGAGTAATCTCAATGCAACAAAGGTGGCAGCGCTCAGATTGTTACTAGACATTCGAAATATTTCGCATGTGGTCTATTGCGATGAGTATCATACCCGTTTCGCCGATAGTTGCGGGGGGGCTGCACCAGTTTTTCTAGAAACTTCGGCTGTTTGTCAACAAATGCTATGTGTCGGGGTGTTTGCTTGCAGACGACACACAGTGACTACGACGCTCACGAATACAGTGTACGGCGGCGATACAAGGACTTCCTCTGGCTGAAGCAGGCATTGGAACGTAGCCACCCAGGGTGCATTATTCCGGTGAGAAACTGCCTGGCAATAAACTATGCTCTGCGTGGGTTTTGACGAACGTCGCAGCATACTCATTGAGTTGTATGTTAAAAGAAATGTGTCGATTCACCTAGTCGCGCACAAATGTTTGAACCTTCTGAGTATCGGGAGGGGGATGGTGAAAACAAATGGGAAAAGGCTTTTGAGTGCTGTGCATTTGAGTTACCAAACAGTAGTATATCTGCCCATTATTATTAAATAATTGCGAATATTTTCTGGTCGTTAGAAGGGCCTAGCTTGGCTCTGTAGAGTGCGTTTGCTGCTTTGGTGCATTGTGGTGAAGCAGACAGTTTTGAAACCTCATAGATTGATAAAAGATGCCTTTTCCCTTTTAGAGTCTTTACACAGAAAATAGAAGAAATCGCAAACATATAAGGTGCGAGCAAAAGAGTTTTAGGACGCTGTGCGAAAGCCAACATTCCTAATCCCATCTATGAAATAAAATTAAACCTTTTATTTTCCCTGGCGGAGTATAGTAAAAAGTCACTATGGCGACTTGACAATGTCATTGTGACTTCATGCAATGTCAGACAGGCAGCTGCTTGTGGAAGCGTACCCCGAAAGCTCTCGGTGAATAAAATTCGAGTTACGATTTAATGGGAAAAAGTTACAACTTACCTCGATTGTTAGCATAAAGTTGGGGGCAACAAAATGCATCTCGCGTGTCTCAGCCTCTTGGGGCAGGCACATCTGAGAGGTCCCACTGATGGCTGCTTCCATCTTCTTCAGTCAAAGAATCGAGATCGGTCGGAAGTATTTTATAAACAGGCTCTGCCATACCGTTCGTCGGCGGCCATCTAATTTTATGTCTCAATATACCGTAGGACGAGCTCCCCTGATGCTTCTCTTCTTCGTACCCCCGTTTGCAGCCTTTGCCGGACCGGTCCGTCCTGCAGCATCGCTTCTCGCAGGAATTCCTCCGCTTCCGAATGCTCGGACTGCACCAGTTTCTGAACCGTGTGGTGGAGCACCCCTCCCTGTGCACGGAGCCAAGCCTCAAGCTCTTCCTCACCGCAAAGCCACACGTGAGCCGCTTAGTCGCAGTGAGCCGGGCGCGGGCGAATGTTCCCGGCACGCTTGGGACGTAAGCATATCTCGTCGTGTACAACCATTTGCGGAAAAGGTGCTGCTTAGAGTCGCATAGATAGTAAATACTGCCCCGTGGTGGAGCTTCGGTTACCTGGAATTAAAAATGGATCAAAAAATTTAGGGGGAGCAGTGTTATAAAGGCGCGTTCGCACACTTGCATCTGCTTACGGCCGAGTGCCTTAAAAGCTCTCGCGATTTTTGGCAACGTAAGAACAAACTAGTGCCATATAGTGGGTAGCTGTGGAACACTCGTGATTCCTGTACATTCCCTACTTATTCCACGCATCATTCTTTCTTTATTGGTACGAAAAACTTTTGACAGTTTTATAAACAACCATCTCATAGTGCATACATTTGCCTCGCTAACACTGTGAAACCTTCACCCTAGTGAAATACAGTTTTAGGGCCACCTCATGGGTGGCACCAGTGTGCCGTGTTCTCTCGTCATAAGAGATTGCAAAAACTCGTTCTTAAGCACATGCAAGTGTGTCATTAAGTTTCGCACAAAGCGGAGTGCTAGCATCTGCTTTACAAATACAGTGCTATAATAGAGCGAGCGTGTGCCCACAACCCAATAAGCAGCTAGCCCCTACTTTTAAACGTTTCAAGCCTAAGGACGTATGAAGTACCCACCCTAGCAACTTCTGATCTAAGGGAGGTGCCCCTTTGCATCAGCTACCGTATTTACTCGCATATTGAACACACTTTTTTTTTTCCGAAAAATTGACCCTATTTGGGGTTCATTACACGGGGTAAAATTTTTGAATTTACACACTTTGCACGAATGTCATTTTAGGTGCCAATACAACATGGCAGGGTACTGTGGCACGTCTGCACTGACGGAGGTGCCCATGGCTGGTTGTGGGCGCGCCACAGTCATCATTCTTTATAAATTGCGAACCTTACCCTTTTTTAGGGTGCTTTTGGCGTGCCTTTTGCCAAAGAAAAAGTGCTTTACGAAGCTCAGTCAGCACGAAGAGCGACGCAACCGCTCTTAGGCCTAATCGCTTTCATGATATCACTGTTTGAAAGCGGATCGAAGACGGCGGCGCGTTTGTTGACATCAATGCATCCGATGGACGAAGCACGTCCGGGACTGGGCAATTCCTCGACCCCAGCTTCGCTAGGCGTGTGCGCTCCTCGGTTTCACTGTTGATCACTTCCTTAACAGCCATTACGAGAGTGGCTTGGCTTGGCTTGGCCTGGCCTGGCCTGGCCTGGCCTGGCCTGGCCCGGCCTGGCCGCTTGGCGGCGAAAGAAACTTGGCGGGCTTGGTGGCTGGCCGGCTAGCTAAGTTGGACGCAGTTCAAGACTTGCAAAGCCGAAAATTTAAAACTCGTTCATTACACGAGAAAAAAAAAAAAAAAAAAAGTCCAAATATTGATGGCTGTTGTAAGGGGTGTGTTCATTATGCGAGTCAATACGGTACTTTCTGCGAAGTCAGTAGTTTGGTACGGGCATACTGCTAAGTATTTTTTCTTTTTGGTGGGTCTGCATTTAGCGGCCATTTTGTCGGTGGAAAAGGCTCGAAGGTCGGTTTTAATTTACATAGGTGTGAACCAAAGGGCGCACACATATTCCTCATGGCAAGAGGCTGCGTTTGGAAATGTTGGTGCTAGGGCTACCTCGAACTGACACTGTTGGGAGGGAGCTTGCAGTCAGTGTAAACACGAGCCGCCCTGTCTCGGCTGTAGCTTCGGGAAACGCAGGGAATAAATGGCGGTCTTTAGGATTTCGTGCAGGTGGTCATGGCCTGCCCCTGAGAAGGTCATAACATCCATCCTCCCAGCGTCTGAGGAATGTATATAGTTTGCTGGGAGGAACCTATTGTTTTCCATACTTTATTGGTCGTCCAGGTGTAGGGAAATGTTTGCTTTTCAACTTGTTTGCTTTTCAACTTGTTTGATTATAGGGCCGACCAGTCGGAGGAAGAGAAAATGATGTAAGAGTCTTGCTGATTGGTTAGGGCGAGTGAGGGAGGGAACAGAGGTTCGGCTCTATGAAAAGAGTGAACTAGCGACTTAAAGAGGGACTTTAAATTTTGGGCATGAACTGAAAGGTTCAAGGGGGTGTTGGGGGGGGGGGGGGGGGTTGACCAGGAACACAGAGTTCTGTGAGGGAACATTCATTTCCGCCTGGCTGTTGGAATGTGCTACGCTAAATAAACCTTCAAGTTGGGAAGTTCCGACCAGAAGTCACTTCGCAATGTTTTTGTCGCTTGCCTCGAGTGGGCAAACAGTGAACATCACTATCGAAGAAAGAAAGACAACATCGTAACTGTAGTGCAAGGTGCTCAAGCTTAACATGGGTGTGCGTCGGTGCGAAGAGGTATAACTTGTTGCGAGTGCCGGTGCAAAGCAGGTCTGACGTAATTAGCACAGCAGCTCTAAGAATTGGAGGTTCCGCCAGATTCCTATTCTGCTCCTATACCATTCCTTCAGATTAAACAAGGGCCCATCTTATATTTATTTATTTATTTATTCAGAATACCTCAAAGGCCATTCAAAGGCATTAAATGAGGGAGGTGGGGGATAGTTATGACATGTAGTATTTTATGTAAAATGCAACGAGAGACAAAAAAGAACTCTACTCTTAAAAGGCTTATAAGCATAACAAAACAGCAAATAAGAAAGAAAATGTAAACAATATTCATACTAATTACGAAAGGTGTTTTCGTAATGCACAAAAACTAATGAAACAAAAAAATATATTTAAAAGAATGATAAAAAAAGAGGGCAGCATGACAAGACACTAAAACCAGATACGTGCTTGTCCTTTATAATCAGCAAAAGGCAGGAGACTCGGCCACCAAGTAATATCAGGAAAGTCCAAAGTTGGCACATCATTTATCGTGGGTAACATTTGCCTCACAATGTTTGCAAAGTGAATTTTCAAAAAAATGTTCTTCACAAACTTTGGAATTGCCAGACATAAAGTATAGAATACTGCTCAAATTGTTAAGATTACTCAATATATAACATTACCAAAAAAAGGTGAGGGCTTTAGATGTACACGTGTGCACACAGCATTCGAAAGGGCTAATCCTCAGTCCTTTTGAGGGGTGTCGAATATGCCCTTTCTTGGTTTGGCACATGAAACCCTCACATTTGATTTGATGGGCCTGTCCTACCATGTGGCCCTTCCGATTTTCTGCTCTCACACCTAAAACGCGCCGAGCCCTATTTTTTCGTGATTATCTCTGGCTTTTGCTTGTGTGCTTGTTCAGTTTTTTTGGGGGTAGACTCTTGATCCTTTGTACTCCGATTATTTATGGTTTTAGCTCATAGCCATTGATATTTGGTTGGCTAGCTATTATTTCGATGCTTTTGTATGTAGACAAAATATATTTGGCTAGTATGAGGGCTGGGCTTATTATCAAATCAATGAAATTACATTGTTGGTGCTATGAAGGAGCGGTGACTAGCAAAAATGCTATACAGTTCTTAAAGAACTGAGACAGTCGGGGTAGTTTCTCATCATTGTCATTTCCCTAGTGTTTCATTCTTATCCTTAGTTCTGATCTGCTGAGAAAGAAGCCAACAATTGAAAGGTATTTCAGTCCTGTGACAGCATTTAGATGTATAATGAACAGTTTGTTTATTTTCACGTTTTCGTTTGTGTTTTCTTACACAACGGGCTTTTCTAATATGGCAGTGCGACGACACTAGGCAAGGGTACTAGATGTATGACACCAGAAGCACTATGGTAATCTCTATTTCGGTCTGAAAAATCACCATGGCAATGGGGTAGGGAGCCCAACGCAAGAGTTTGATCACCCCATTCATTCTACCATGTTGATTAGGTTAGGGATATGTTGTTGTGGATACAAATAATGGCATGGATTATTGAATCGAGACAGATGAACAGTTTGAGGATGAAATTGATTGCGAACTTTGTGCATTGGAAAGAGCTGCTACAGACACCATGCAGAATGTACAGCCTCATCCCCAGCACCGAAACAAAGACCGAGAAACCGGTTATAGTATGTGACGGAGGCAATTTTGAAGGTTATGGAGAATATGCATGCGGGGGGGGGTGGACAACTGTCTTGCCCTCTTTCTCTCTTCAGTGTCATGCGGTAGATGCAGGGAAAGGGGAGGGTAGGAGAGGAGGAGAAGGAGGAGGAGGAGCATATAGGATGTTTCCACAATAACTGTATTGTGTGCGATCTTCTCCGACCAATCATGGTGAGAGGCAGCACATAGAAAAGCGTCTAGAAAAGCTTGGCATGTCTCTGGAAAGCTCAAGTTGCCGTGTACAGCAGGCCTAGGTGTAGACTGTTTCAATAGTGACCTTCGGCGGGGGGTTCAACGCAGGAGTTTGCGGCCCGTCGTCAGCAGTCTGGCGGTCTGGGGGCCAACGTGGCCGGGGCCCTGCAGAGCCTGGCTGGGCCCTACCTGACCAGGGGGACTTCGGCCCCAGAGGGGGCCCCCGTCTATGCGCAACTCTTGGGGGACAAGCTTGCATGCACCGAGCGCATTGCCTTGCGCATTGCCAGGGAGCAGATGGGTGAGAAATGCTAGTTAGTAGATTAAATGAATGGATGTATATGATTGAACCCTTTAAATTAGGTGGCAGCTTGCGCTACCTATACTCTGTTCATCCCTGAGCGGGCAGTGCAGTGCAAGCTATGCGCTCACCCGCCTTTGATCACCTGACCGCATTCTCTGTGCGTTGGTGTTGGTGGGAGCATTGTTATGTGGCAAAAGATGAACGGGTGACTGCTCCAGTGAGCTTGTGGCTTCCACCGCACTGTCAGCTTAGGGGTGAATGGAGTAGTACAGCCAGCATTTCTAATACTTGCAGTTAACCTCTACTTGATATAAGATACATTCAGGTTAGAACGCCAGCTAGGACGTGCAATTTTTGGTGAATGAGAAAAGAGAACCGACCCTTTCCGAAATTCAGTGCCATCTAGCACAGGTTGGCATTTTAGGTTGAAATCACTCACTCACAATCAGCTCAAAATAAAAATAGTCATTCCTTAGTCCTCAAATTAATATCTAGAAACAACTTCAGAATGCTCTCACCCTCGGTTTCTACTCACCGATTCACAAACTTATTAACTTGCAAACTCACAAACTAATGAGCTCACAAACTAATGAGCTCACAAACTAATGAGCTCACAAACTCGCAGGCTCACTAACTCGCAGGCTCACTAACTCGCAGGCTCACTAACTCGCAGGCTCACTAACTCGCAGGCTCACTAACTCGCAGGCTCACTAACTCGCAGGCTCACGTGCTTGCAGGCTCACGAATTCGCGGGCTCACGAGCTAGCAGGCTCAATAACTCGCAGACCCACAAACTCGCAAACTCACAAACTTGTGAACTAGCAAACTCGCAGAGTGACGAACTCGCAGATTTATGAACTTGAAGGGCCACAAACCTGAAGACTCACCGACTCACAAACTTCTAGACTCATCAACTTGTAGACCCATCAGCTCGCATACTCAAGACTCACAGACTCGTCAACTTGCAGATTCATCAACTGGCATACTCAAGACTCGCAAACTCGTCGACTTGCAGACTCATCAACTCGCACACTTAGGACTCGCAGGCTCATACTTAGGACTCGCAGGCTCATGAACTCGCTAACTCACAGACTTGAGACTCGTGGACTTGCATGCTCACAAATTCGCAGGCTCACAAACTCGCAGGCTCAGAAACTCGCAGGCTCAGAAACTCGCAGGCTCAGAAACTCGCAAGCTCACAAACTCAGAGGCTCACAAACTTGCAGACTCACAAACTCGCAGACTCACAAACTTGCGTACTCAAGACTCACAAACTTGCAGATTCACAAGCTCGCAGACTTACAGACTTGCAAGCTCAGGAACTCGCAAGCTTGGGAACTCGCAAGCTCAGGAACTCACAAGCTCAGGAACTCACAAGCTCAGGAACTCACAAGCTCAGGAACTCACAAGCTCAGGAACTCACAAGCTCAGGAACTTGCAAGCTCAGGAACTCGCAGGCTGAGAAACTCAAAGACCTTTAAACTTGCAGACCTATGAGCTCGCAAAACTCACAAATTCAACAAATGCACGAACCCACTAGCACATGATGCCATCAACTTTTTATCCTTCACTCCAATTCGTGAAGTTTGGTGCTTCGGAAATCATTCACTGTCGTCTGTCGTTCAAGGGTGAGGGAACGCGAGGGAACGCGAGGAGACACTGCTCTTTGAGGCAAAATTTTACTCGGAAAACACATTTTTAAAAATGCGTCTTTTGAAGTTTGGCAAACATTTATCATCTTGTCCTGAAGGATTTTCGTTAAATAAGTCTCTCTTATCTTGAAGTATTGTCTTGGAAACAAAGTAAAATGGGTCTGTGGATTTTTTAAAATATTATTTCTGAGTGAGCTATTTACACCCTTTACTATTTTATGGAAGCCCTATCTCCACTCGCACATATCTCATTTTCTTATCTTTTTCTTTCTTTGCTCTCTGTATGCGTGACATATGCAATAAGGCGTACAAATAAGCCATGTAAATTCCATTTTAATTGAATCACAAGTTATGTAAAAGAGCTCTAGAAGCAGTGTTCCCCCTTAAGTGTGTGCACTCATGAGTTTTGCCATTGTATGCCATCTAGTGGCTCAAATATCGGTTGAACTTTCAGATGCTAGTGGCGGTTTAAATCTAGTATCTCATCTCACACTGTCATTTTCATATGCCAACGACGGAGGGGCACGTGTTCTTAGCTGCACAGCTCTGGCAAGACACTGCCACGCTGTGCAAGATGCTTAACCCCGTAAAACTCTCCCTAAAATTCCTCACATCGGGTAGCTCGTGGGCCAAGCATGCACTGACCTATTTAATACATTCGCCACCGTGCACATCGCGCACTGCCGGGCTGTCCGTACCGCATGTTTCCCCCTAAAGCAGGGCCAGACTAGACGTGACTGTTTTGCTTGTATAATAAGCTTTTACTGTAAAACTCGGTGCGGAAAACAAGAAAACATGTTTGTTTACATGCTTAAGTGGTTCGTTCAAGTCTTTAAAACAATAGGCCCTCAAAGATACTTCGTCGTATGAGAGATCTCGAAGCACTCCACCCTCGATCGCTTAGGGGTCGCACAGCCAGTGTGCTCTTGTTTTGATTCGGACTCCAAACTGCTGTCGGAATTGCCCCTGTCGTCGACAGAAGGCTCCAAAAACTCTCTATCCTCGCCACACCTCCCATCATCATCACTGTCGAAGAGGATATCTATGATTTCATCGTAGGCAGCAATCGAGTGGGAAAGACGACACACAAAAGAACAAGCTCAAACAAACACAGCGAACAGAACAATCTTCACCATCCGTTAGCAATGCATCTAACTACACTACCCCAAACCTACATAGCACGCCATCTATGAATGGCTCTTTAAAACAGAAATTCATGTAGACTGGTGAATCGCCGGTCTTGGCAATATGGCCCCCGACGGTGCACCCGGCGATTTGCTGGCTTTGGTAGCGAATGGGTTAATTAGATGTCAGTGTGAAATTAATGCTGATCAAGCGCTTGCATCCAATTTGTGCTTTGCATCGGACCAACCCCCAGGATGCTTATGCTTTGTGTTATCCGCTTCAGCGCACATCTTCAACCTCTTCCTTCACCAGCCAGTGGATGGAAGACAACAGATGTCACAGATTCGGATGATGATAGTTACCAAAGTGGCCGAATGGAATTTTGAAAAGGGTCTATAATCTCGTTTAGAGCCGCTAAATAGGCTACACATCAGAGTAATGACACTCCAGCCATTTTGGTGCTTAAAATTATTGTTGCCAGTTATCTGAGGCTTTATCTGAAATTGCGGGAAATGGTCTTCCGTCCTCAAGAAACGTTAAAATAGTCCGCGTCAGAGCAAAATATTGGCTTAGCTCCCCAAGTCTAAAGCTTGGCAAGTCGCATTTTCGTGTGCGACTTTCCGGTTAGTGCTTGCAAGACAATCGGTGAATATGGCACGGAATTTTTAAGCGTAGCTTATTTTTGGTGACTCTTGTCTCATCCATTTTGTCTTACTTGTTACTCTAGCGCCGTGTGTATTTCGTGTCCCTAGTGTTTAGTTTGATTGAATGATTTCTGTTGGAAACGTACAACACATCGTTGATGATACAATTACAGTTGTAGCCAGTCGATTGTGTGCATAAGTGTTCTCGACGGTAGGAAGTGTGATTTTTTCGTCGATTCCAATGGCGAGAGTCTGTTCACCATATGGAGAAACCTGACACTTTCCATGCATGAACCATTTGGTCTATGTGAATTTTATTTGTATCGTGATGCAGAAATAGTAAATCATGTAAATCTTGTACATTGTTAAATATATTTATAAATGCGTGTAAGGGCCGCACTTTGTTTTCAGGTTCTGGGGTTAATATCCGAGGTGTGGCACATACATGGATAAAACAAAAATGGTTATAGATGCACATAAACAATAGGTGTACTCGAGGTGGGACGCAGGTGGCTAGAACGCCTTTATTTCTGTTTCAATCGTTGCAACCTTATATTGGCAACATTGAATATCCATATACCATTGGCGTCACAGTAAGCATCGGTCATTCTTGTTCGGTTCCTTTGCTGCGATGTACTTGCTTCTTCCTTATTCCTGGTCACTGCGCTAAAGGCCAGGATACAATTTTGGTGACAAGGTTAACTTCAGTTCTGCTGCCACGAACTATAAACCGATAGAGTCGAATCTCGTTAATTCAAACTCTCTTAATTCAAACTTGCGGATAATTCAAACTAACGTGCAGGTCCCATCCTATGCATCTCTCTAGGGGGAAACATCTAGTAATTCAAACTTTGCTTTATTCAAACAAATTTTCGGTCCCCCTCGAGGTTGAATTAATGAGATTTGACTTAGCGCTGCCCCCATTTCGGCAAACGCTGGGCCAGTTGTCTAGTTCATTGTCGCAACGTGTTCCTCGTGTTCCCGGAGGCTTCCAGCGTGGACAAGTTCGATCCTTTGTGGCGTGCTGCCGTCTATTTTCACTAGTTAAAAAGTTAATTAACCAAGTTTAGTCAATTAAATGACTTGTGATGATTAGCCCCATATACAGTGCAATGCACTTATAACGATACCATGTAGAACGATGTACTGCTTATAACAATCGGTTTCTAGAGTTTTCACACTAGAAACAATCAGTTTTTAGTCCAGACACAACGATAATCGGTTATAACGATTGAATTTTCAGGTTTTCTCATTACTGTTAGAAGTGGATTGCACTGTATTATGTCTCACTGGCCGTATAACTCGCCTGCACAAACCAGATTAGTGTAGCTTGCATGACTTTTTTCAAGCAAATCTGTAAAATCTAAAAAAATGCCTTCTATATTCTGCGTTACCGTTGCCACTGGAGTTGCACAAGGGGAAAATGCTTCTCTCGTTGCTGTGTGCTGTGGTACTGGAGCAGCTGCTGAAGCCTCACGGCCTGTACGGCTGCGTGCACAACTCCCATCGCAGAACACTCCGGGGAGCTGTCGGAACTGCACGCGGCTTTCACGCTGTGGGCGGGCTCGGAGAACACCCTGGGTCCGTCTCTGGAGGCCTTGGCTTCGGCTCTGGACCAGTGCTCGGCTAGTCACAAGGAGGCCGTGAGTGGATCCTGCTCGACTCTGACTAGAGCCATTGAAAGGAACACTGACACCCACCAAAGACATTTTGTTTATGTTTCGCCAGGTGATCTATTATGGTGTCACAAGACTACCAATCAATATCTCGCTACAGCGTCGCATATATTTTAATAAAGTAAAAAAAAATAAAAAATAAAAAAAAAGGTTCGAAACTGGAAGCCAAAACTGGACTGGGGAGGAAGAAGGAATATAGAGGAGGAGAAAGTTACCAGAAGACATGTGACTGTGCAACTTATGTTTTTCAATCAGTGTATTTTCGGTTTTTTGAAAGCCACAAATAATGGGTATCATATTTTTAGTCTATATCTAGAATTGAGTGTGTGCCTTCGATGACCCACGACTTTGATTATCTTTGGTGGTTGCTTCCACTGATCTCTATGACAATTGCTGGATTGCGCTTTTTGCTCCCACGAGTGAAACCACTGGACGGCCATCTTGCTCGTAGATGAATTGGGGTTTTGCTAGTGTTGCTGAGGCTGGCGGCAGCGTGCTGAAAACATGTTTTCTACTCATATATATATATATATATATATATATATATATATATATATAAAACTGAGAAGAAAAAAACCCTTAGTGAAAACAGCAACAACGGACGATTTAATCTTCGACGTTTCGGCCAGAGTCCGGCCTTCGTCAGGAAGCTTCCTGACGAAGGCCGGACTCCGGCCGAAACGTCGAAGATTAAATCGTCCGTTGTTGCTGTTCTCACTAAGGGTTTTTTTCTTCTCAGTTTTATACCCATGCCTTCGGCCTCCCGCCACCACGCCCATTATATATATATATATTTATTATATGTACAGTTGAACCTCGATGTAACGAAGTCGGTAAAATTCGCAATTTACTTCGTTACATTGAAATTTCGCTAAATCAAAATTTGGCTTTAGCATGCAAAAAAAAAAAAAAAATTCCGAAACATTTTGCGGGTATGAAAACTCACCGAAAATGACATTTATTTAGGGGCAAAGCAGTCCGCGAATTGTGCTTGCGCCTTGTATACGTCACACTCTGTGTGACGTATGCAACCGCGAAAGGGAAACTATAGAACATCTAATTTTAAGGTGCACGGGGCTTCGTCCCACCCTCTTGGGGGGGATGACTACGGATTTGGAGGGGGCGCTGGGTTTTCCAGACATGAATGGACGAATGGATAGGAAAAGAATTGCGACAGCTAAGAGGAGATTGGAAGATTGGTGGAAGAAATCTAGGGAAGGATAAAAAAAAAAAAAATACATATAAAAATAGGCAATAAATTCAATTTAAAAGAGAGGGGGAACTGTTATAACAAAATTCATACAAAAAAAAAAAAAAATGGTAGAAGGGATGACGAAATGTTAGGCTAGGTGGCGCAAGCTGCCGCCTGATACAAAGGGTATAGCCATTACCATCCATCAGAGCCGTAAATGTAGAGAGTTTGGCCATTCGTTGGGAAGTATATGAGACAAATGAGGATGCGCCATTGGCCGAAAGCGGGCTGGGCGTGTTCCAGGGCGTCTTCGGAAATTCGAATGTGACCAACCAGAAGCCGGAAATAATACCCTGGCGGTGGTCGCGAAAAACAAACCTGATAACTGCAATGGAGTAACTCTCAATGACTGAAAATATGGTACACGTGATGTTTCAATCACGTTAATCCAAAATGATGGTGGAAGAGTGCGACTAGCGAAATGATCGACATAATCCGTACGCCAAGCGCCGAGGGCCGGGAATCTGCCGTCCGAGCGGTCACACTCTGTCCGCGCAAAACAGATTTGCGCGGCGCATTCGGTTCTTACATCTTTCTGCATGATCATGATCAAAACAACACGTGCACCCTATTTTCAACCACAAAGAGTTACTACACTTCACTCTTACGCGCTTATTAAAACCATATGCGAACATAGACTTTTGATCAGAACTGTTTGCCGCTACCACCGCTAGGGGATTCTTTTCGGTTTCTGGTTGGTCAAGAGCCCTCTTTCCGACTCTGCCGCACGCCCTGACTCTGCTCGCGCCTCCCATTGACCAAACTCTCCACATATACGGCTCTGCCATCCATCCATCCATCTATCCACAGTAGCAGCAGCGTCATACGGCGTGCGAGCGCCCAGAGCGCTTGCACGGTATCTTGCTGCCCATGCGACGCCGTGTACCTCCTCAGTACGTCCATTGCGTCGAGCACTTCCCGAGTGCTCGTGATCTCGGCAGTTTCTTCAGGATGGCGTCCAAAACGTTTGCTTTCTCATCCAAAAAACAGAACTTTACGTTTCCTTATGCCAGCAAGCACGTGAGTGAACCGCCCGGTTAAAACATAGAGCTGTTTAGTTTAGGCGGTGCCAATGTTTCCAACCTACACAGCACTCTTGACCGCACAGTTTACTTGTCCGCTTGCGCCCACAGTGTGCTTGCGCCTTTGCTTTACATCACGCTCGCAAGACGATAATCGGTCTTCTTGGTCTTCTCCTAGATGGCACTGCCCGTGCGGTCGCGCGGTCGCGCCATCACGTCGCTCCCCCGCTGAAGTTGGCTCCCGCGCTACCCGCGATACAGTGGACTATGATGATCAGTGAATGTCAGTGGTGATGCTGTTATGCCGTGTTAACTTTTTGCTCGGCGTTTTCTGGCCAGTCCCGCGGAATCCGCTTGGCCGCATGCCTCGCCGACGCTACCGGCGCCGCATCCTCGGGCAGCCTAGGAACGTTGGAAGGCCTGTCCTTGTGAAGTAACCTATCAAGCGCTCGCATTTGCGCATAATTTTTTTTTAACCACAATTTTTTTGCGAAGTTGTTTTTTAGAGTCTATTTATTTATTGCCTTCTCTGGCAATGGTGCTTCGTTATATTGAAATAGCAGCAAAATAGACTTCGTTATATAGAGACTCAAAATACATGGGGTCTATGGGCAAGAAATTATGAAAAATAAAATACTTAGTTAAATCGAGGATTTCGTTACATTGAAGTTCGTTACATCGAGGTTCGACTGTATATATATAAAAATAAGACTGCATCCACAATACTCTTATGGCCAAATATACCATATTTTATCGCATAATGAACTCCCCACAACGGGTACCAATATTTGGACTTTTTTTTGTTTCACTTGCATAATGAACACACGTCCAATTTCCGGCTCCGCGACTTTTGAATTGCATCCAATTTAGCTAGCCACCAAGCCAATTTTCTTTTGCCACTATGCGGTCAGGTCCAAGTCAAGCCAAGCCACGCTGCTCTCGTAATGGCTCCAAGTGCATAGTTGCGGAAGTGATCAACCGTGAAACTGAGTGGCATGCACACTTGACGAAGCTTGGGTCGAGGAATTGCCCAGCCCAGGACATTTTTCGCCTATCCGATGCATTGATGTCGATAATTTCACCGTCCACTTTCAGACAGTGAACTCGTGAAAGTGGTTAGGCCTAATTTCACATCCTCCGGGTAAATCCATTCATTCAATCGTAATAGAATGGAGGTGCCAGGTGCACGCTACGTTGTAGGTTGAGAGTGTCTGGTAACAGCCGTCTCCGTGAACGAAACTTGAAACCTGATTCGTAGGAGCAGGCCTCGGTGATCGACTGTTGGACTTCGTACGAGTTCTTATACTTGTAGTCGCGATATATACCTGAGCACGTCGCCGGATACTATAGCAACCTAAGAACGATTGCGTTGCTTTCTGTGGTGCTGAGTGAGCTTCATAAAGCGCTTTTCATTTGGCATAATGCATGCCTAACCGTCCTAAAAAGGTTTGCAATTTATAAAGCATGGTTACTGTAGCGCGCCCCCGACCAGCAGAGACGTGCCACAGTACCTTTTCATGTCATATTGGCACCTAATGTGACATTCGCACGAAGTGTGCAATTGTAAAAATCATCAACATATCGAAATAATGAGATACATGGCTGTTGGAAAGTGTGCTGGCTATTGCCCGATCACATTGGGACAAGAAAATATTGCATAATATAGGTGCCACGCAGAAACTTACCCTTGTGACTCCGCATACGCACCTCAAAGACTGCAGCATGGGGGGGGGGCTGCAAAATTGCCTTTACCAGACATCTCTAGAAACCAGAACGCCACCTTCGTCGCTTTTGTGCACGACTCCTCCGGTCCGCTACTTGCGTCCGCAACTGCACCTACAACTCTCGGCGGGTCGTGCATCGACGCGGTGTTCCGCAAACATTTGGATGGCTCGCGATGCGCGAGACGTATCCTCTGCATCTCATACTGTCGTCCTAAGCTCGCTGTTCTTTGATTTCTATCGCTCTACAAACTTACCTTATTTCTACCCAAATAAACTATGGCTTTATATATCACCCCCCTCTCATCTCTTGTGCCACCCACATGTAGTTCTTGGGAAATGTATGCAGCATAGTACACCAATGCACTGACCAATGCACTGATTTGACAGAGATGCGTGCGGTGTCTTTTACAGGCCCAGGTACTGCAGTCCCGCTGTGTTCCCGGTCTGCACGAGCAGACTTTGCTGGTGGAGTCCGTCAAGGTGAGTCAGATTTATAGAAAATTGGTAAAGCTCTATCGTGCCGAGAAGAACTACAAAGCACAGAATGTGTTCCACACAAACGCACAAATGCAGCTCAGTGGCTGTAGTGTTCGACTGCCACTGTACCGACCCAGGTTCGATCATACATTTATTTGACTCAGGACTTCGGAGATTCTATGTATAACCTTAACATCGTGCGAGCGTGTCGCTCGCTTGTGACTCTCATCCATGGTGCTTGTCCATGTTGGTTGCTACTGGTGCTTGTTCGTGACAATTTCCTCTTAGAAAACAACTTGTAAAACACATTCCGCATTACAATTTGGGGGGCTTTATATGCAAAACCAGCAGAGGACAGCTCGCATGTCCCAGTGCCCTTTTTCTATGGCCTTGTCACCCTTACGGTGACTCGCTTCCCGCACAGATTGCGGGGCTGGTAGTCGCTCGCGGGTGTGGCTTTCATCCTTCTTTCTGCGTCTAGTATCTCATCTGCTCATGGCTTAGATTTGCTAGTAGAGAATAGTACGGGGCAGAATTTAGTTGTCTCAGCTCTAACAACCTCTGTGGCATATTTTGATGGCAGGCAACAGGTCTTTATTTGGAATGTGCCAGCTAACATTATTATATTTCAAGAGTTAATTAGTGGATTTTAAGTAATTCATTCGTGAATTGTCTAAGGCACTCATAACTTGACGTCCACCTTGGTTAAGAACATTATTTTGCTGGAACCATAATTTTCTTTCCAGTAGTTTTCTCTTTTTTATTATTATTTTTCCTTTTGGGAAGAACACCCTATATGTTAGAAATTTTCCTGTTCATTTCGGGTGGAGACAGACATACTTTCAGCATGATTGGGACAAAGTGACCGAGCTTCGTTTTGTTATTTATTACTTCTCCTTCACTGCAATCCTCCTTTGACCTTGCGGTGTAAAGTCATGACATACCTAGAGGTTGGGTCTTGCTGACCTCGTGACACTAGGATGGGTTTCTGTTCATGTGGTCAATCTTTCCAGTTTTTTGTTGAGTATAAATGGACTTCATTTTGTTTTGTGAACAAAAGGAAGTCTCATTCTGTCATCTATCTTTTTTTCTTTAGAAAAAGGATGTGATCTTGGGGTTGTAAAAATGGTGGAAGATCCAAGAACAAAAGGAAGATTTCTGTTACCTTCTTCATTTCTCTTTGTCACGGATGTCCTCCAACCTGACATTTACGATCTGGAGTCGCTGCATTTGGGAACAATGGATGCTTGCAAATCGTAAAGTCCATGGGTTTTTTTTGGTTTTTTTTATTATAGGAGTGGGCGATTTTTTTGTGTTTTCTACGAAGATGGTGTCTTGTTTGAAAAGTGGAGTGACTGATGCCTTGCTGATGGCCAGCGACTCTGCATATTTTGGTTGAAAAGAAAGAACAAATTGCAGCTTCTTGCCACAGTGTGCAAAGAACTGACAGTGATAGGTATTATTGCTCTATAGTAACACACACTTTTACGCAAATCCACCCTTTATTTACCCATTTGGAGGCAACACAGCCGCGTGGTCACTGTAGTACTTTGTAGGAAAGAGAAAACATTCCAGACGTGAAGGAATGTCTCTGCCTAAGACTACATCGAAACAGGCACCGTTTAGCTATTGCCATACCTACGGTATACATGTTTCTCACTGGTGTGTTTGGCGTCCTATTCCGCCTAAGCATCGAAAGTTGTCTCGAAGTGGCAGTAACCGACGTCGCAGAAGCCGGCATGTCATGCCGTCAGACGTTGCGACCCCGGTGGTTGGTCGTACAAGTTCTGAAAGAGAAGCACGAAAGAACGCGAGCGTCGCTGCTGTTGCGGCGTCCCAACTCCCGCTGCCGAAGCTTTCACGGGCCGTGAAGCCGGAGAGCGACCCGCAGCAAAACAGGCATCTGTCGCGTCTGCCGCCACTGCTGCGACACTGCCAGGATCATGGCCGGCGATTTCGAGGGACCATTTTTGTTTTGGAAGCGGCAAATGCACCGGTTGGAGACGCAAACCAGGCACTGTTTTGTATCTCGCCATGACGGCAGGACGTTTCGCTCTGGCTCGAGGGAGGTACCAACCCCGCAACGCCGCCGTGCGTGTGTGCGGGCGCACGTGCCGTCTCTCGGCCAAAGTTGGAACCACTCCGGTCGGATGCAGTCGTTTAATTTGACGACGTCATAGTGTTTTGCCGCTTAGCTCGACGCCTCGAATGCATCTGGGAAGTTCCCGTAATGGCCGTCGCCGTGAAACCCCTGCGGCCAAACTGCCACCTGAGGTGCCGGATGCATCGCCGTACAGTTGCGATGCATTGCGGTGACATAATCTCTCGAGGGGAACGAGAGTTGCCCCATTCCCCTCATCTCTGGTGGTCGTTTGACGCTCCTCTTACTGAAAGGGACCATGAAATGATTTTAAAATCGAGTTTCATCCACCGCATGTCGTAAAAGGTGTGAAAAGAAACACAAAAACACAAAAATAGGGAGCCAAAAAAAATCATTTGCTATAGAACTTTTAAAAGAAAACTGGACTCTTTTGCGCCTTCCTTCCTTCGCCTGTTCACTACGATGCATCCGCGGAAATGGAGCACGTCAGCCGAATCCACGTCGCCTATTGGGTAAGAGCCTACCTCACCAGCACCGCGATCGTAAACAATAAATAGCCGGCGAATGTTTCCTAAAAGTTTTGTTAAATAATATTCAGATCCACATTTTGTAGCATAATTAGAGATGTGTGGCGAAAATTGCCAAATGTGATAATGCTGAGAACCAGGCGCCATCTATCGTGTGGTAAACGAAGCAACTACTGCGCGTGCGCAGTAGGGCAGGGCCGACAGTTACTTGGGTGGCGGCCAGCGACGAACGTTTATTTTCTTTGTTTTCCTTCCTCTTAAAACTCTGACTGACTGAACGTTTATTTTTCTACGTGTTCTTCCCGCGCGTGCCGACTTCAAGCAGCAAGAAAGCAGTACTTAAAACAGACCACGACGAACAAGAACGCTGGATCCACCGACTCCGACGAAGCGTATAGGCCTAGCAGGCATTCCGACTCGGCGCTGCTTCGTCGCAAGACCGTCTGCCTACGATCGGCTGGCGTGCTCAATGGAATATGCCCGCGCGACCCTTGTGGACCCTTCCCGTATTATAGTTTGATCACTGACCTCAATTCTAGATTAAGAGGTGAGGTCAATCTCTTCCCCTTGTTTTCCGAGGCAGTGTTGACGAACACTTGTCGAAAAGGGACTCTCGTCGATTCTATCTTTTTGTTTTGTGTGATATAGAGCTGAAATAAACGCCGTATGGATTACCTTCGTAACACGGTATGTACACTTTGTTATTGGTATGCCATTTTTATTCTGACAGACTGCACGTCACTGTCGAGCTATAACAGTTCGTGGGAGGTATACGTACAACCCCGGTCCAACCTTTCTTTGCCGAGTGTCGCGTCAGTATCGAGTTGCAATCGTAAAAGAACGGTCCCGAAGCGCTTACAAACAGCGCGAATACAAGACTTCCATCAAGCGCGCGCGTCCGCTCCGAGTGTAAACAGGTATTTACATGGCTCTTGCTGACACTCGTAGTTCAAACGTATCTTTTTTAACGTCGGCTCGCTCCTGCATCTCCGAGGCCGCGAAAAACGCCATCTACGTCGCTTTGCAAACGACTGACACGGGCCGGCCCTTCTGCCAACAATGGCGGGGTGGTTGACTTCTGGAGTCTTCACCGGAAGACTCGCTGCACTTCCCAACAGGCATACCGGCGTATGGGACTAGTCCCATGCTGTCGCTGTACAGCTGCGATGCGGCGATGAGAGGCGCCGATTCAGGAAATACGACGGTGACATCAGTGCAGTAAAACCTACCGGCGCACCCCAACTCGTTGCCGCTAACACTCCCATTCTCCTACTGCCGAGAGAACTTCCGGTTCCGGAAACGGCCTACGTCACGGCTTCTTTTGCGGTCAGTTGGAGAGAATGAAAAAGTCGATATTTCAATAATTTTTTGTGTAAAAGTTAATAAACCGAGACAAAAACGGATGCCTGTTCGGCATTCAGTGAACATTGACGGTTTAATGTAAAAGTTATCTGGAAAAAGTAAAAAGGTCATTTCATGGTCCCTTGAAGTCCCGCCTAAAAGTGCCCTCGTTCTTTCTCGCAGGAGGCTCTTCAGCGAAGGTGTGCGGCGCAGGCTGAATACGAACTCGCCAAGGAGACGCTCGCCAAAGGCAAACAGGAGCACCAGCAAGTAAGCGGACCTCAATGACGCGGCAGGTCTCGGAAGTCAGCAAGCCGGGGACTGCCGTGGTCGCCGACGTCTTAAGAAATCCGGGGCATGCCTTTTTTGAGCTTGCTCTGAAAGTTAGCTCGCCCCTTATTTACTCTCAATTTTAGGTGCGCTACCCCAGGATATTACGACACTCGTTTTATGTATGAGGTGACTGTTCCAACTTGCTCGAGCTTTGAAACGTCGTCGAGCCGCACGCTCAGTTTACCGACGCTCCATGCCAGCACGTCCGGCCCGTTGCCAGCGCAAACTTTTTCGGGGTGTGCATCTTCGGAGACCCGACTTTGCGCACGCTTGCTCGATCAAATGTGTGGACGTTAGAATGTGCGCACGGTGACTGTTCGTCGTGTGCACACCAACGCAGAAATAGAGAAGGAGAAACTGGGCGGTGCAAGCACCGCACGACAAACGGCAAAAAAGGCAGGAAGAAGCGCGCCTTCCATGCGCCCATTGCGCGGACAAAGTTGCACTGTGCAACAGTGGATAGCGCATTCGTGCCGAATTGTGACGCGCAAATGCTTTCTAGATGGTGCACACTTTCGAAAAAGGTAATTCAAAGTGTCCATTGCTCTCGGTCTGGTTCTGCCCTGCTTGGACTAACGAGTCCTCCGGCGGGGCAGCGAATAAACAAATGACCGATTTTAAATGAGGGATCTTGGTGCAGCTGCAGAGTCCCGCGTCGGGCGGACTTTCCCTCGACGCCCTCCTGAGGAGGGACACCGCCCAGTATCGCAAAGACAAGGCGCAACGTCTCGAGTCTTCTCTGCAGCAGGTGGGTTGAGCCGGACATTTGCTGCCTTAGCCCAGTGGGGTTTTGAACTCCGAATACGTTTGAAGGGGAGCTTCGGCAAAGTACAGAAAGTGACCGTTTTGCCTAAAGATTGCATCAACACATTAAAAGATGCATCTAAACCATCTACAGTATAGACTACTTACAACGTAACCGCTTATAGTGCAGGACCGGGTATAACGCGGTTTTTTTAAACCACCGGTTCACCTCCCATAGAACTCCATGTAATTACATACCGCTTAAAATGCAGGCGCGCGAAGGGAAATACCGGTTATAGTGCGGTTTTTGGCACAGCCCGCCGACCGCGCCGACGACCGGAGCAGCGAGCTCGCTTCCCTGTGCGACACTAGATAATGGCGCTGACGGCGCGAGCCGCAAACTGCACTTGGGGGCAAGGAGGTTGCTCGAAAACGCGGGGAGAAGCGAAGAGAGAGGCTTCAGTTGCCATAGCGACGAAGGGACGCACGCACGAGTCATTCACGTGCGTGCGTTCCTCCGCTGCGTTGGAAACAAAGAAACAAACAACCGCAACGACAGACCAATCGCAAGTCGAGGAGAAGTGTTCGCGCGCGTTGCATGCCGGTCGTGGGCCGGCTGCTTCTATTCCGCAAACATGGCGTCGGTTGTGATCGTCGTCCTAGACGGCGTGCATCTCATCGTTCTGCGTAAAAGCGCTATCCTTGACTCTGAATTTTCGTTGTGTGTCGCTATGATAACCCAGCACGTACTAGAAAGGAAGATCCACCTACTCGTGCGGTGATGTCGTGGCGGCGCTCTCAAGACAGCAGAAACGCCCGTGTCATCGTGTTTGTTTACTTCGACTACAGTGGTGATTTCTAAGCATTTGTGTCCTCGAACATCGCCCGGATTTCTTATTTGGCGCATTTCATGCGTGTGCTCAAGTTCAAGGTATTACTGGCGCGTACAGTATGAAGGATGCGAATTTTCACGCGTTTTCATCTCCGGAGAAAAGTGATTAGGGTTAGCAATCCTGAATGCTCGCAACGTCCGTCCGCAACCCGCGATGCCGTTAAAAGGCTGCGCCAGGCAAAAGCCGCTAATTTCTTTTAAAATGTGTGACACACTTGAGACATAACTGTGCTAGTCTATTGAAATAAAGACTTTCCTCAAACTAAGCTTATTTTTTCATCTAACATAAAATAAATTCTTTTACAAAGGTAAGTTGTCTCATGGCATGTATTTTGGCCTGAAAAATTGATGTTTTGGTTATAGTGCGGTACCGCTTATAGTGCGGATTTTCGCGACTCCCGAGACATACGTTATGTGCGGTCTACACTGTAGTAACCCAAGTTGCGAGTCGCAACAAATTTTTCTTTTTCACAAGTTATTGAAGTTTTAATTTAGGTCTGACTGGCACCACTGAAAATGTGTTGTCACGCGTGCGATATGGGGCGAAATTGGGACGCTACGAATCTTTCCTGATGTTCAAGATGTTTGATGGTGCAAAATTAATGCCGGGCTCGTGCGAGCAAAACTAAAAAAACACGCACGAAACGCTGCGTTTTTTAGACTGCCTGATCGACTCGCAGTCACACGACGTGTGACCATACCTCGGCAAACCTCACTCATGAGGGCCCTCACTCACCCTCATCTTCACAGCTGAGGTGAGGGTGAGTGAGTTTCTGAATCAAAAATTGGTGAGTAGGAGGGTGAGTGAGGGCCGTGAGGGCTGCAAGGACCGTGAGGGCGGTGAGTGCGTGAGGGGTGTGAGGCCCATGAGTGCGTGAGGGCGGTGAGTGGCGTGAGGGCGGTGAGTGGCGTGAAAGCGGTGAGGGCCATGAGTGCGTGAGGGGTATGAGGGCCGTGAGTGTGTGAGGGGTATGAGGACCGTGAGTGGTGTGAGGGCCATGAGTGCGTGAGGGCAGTGAGTGCGTGAGGCCCCCTTCATACGGAGCAACTTTCTCGGCAATTTCGGTGTTGCTGGTAAGTTGTTCCCTAGCTTTCCCTAGATCACCGTGCCCTAGATCGACACGAATTGCTGAGACCGGGTCCGGCTCGAAACAAGCGAGCAACTCGGGGAAATTCGAAGACGTTTGAAGCGGCTGCATCCAATCAGGGACGCGATATTTTCACGTGATACCTCGTGCCGGTGATGATGACAACAAAGGACTTGGTTCTGGTTTGAAATTTATCGTTCTTGGAAATAAACTGTCAGAAAGATGCATTAGTATTCTCAACGTGATTTAAATGCATAAAAACATGTTTATAGCTGTAATTATGTGTCTAAATAGTGCAAGAAAAATAAAATTTCATGATGATGACTGCAAATTGCAGCAATTGGTTCCTGCGTGTGAATGCGGGCTGTGTTGTGACGTCAAGTTTCTGGGCCTGAAGTGGGCCTGAGTGGCGTGAGGGCCATGAGTGCGTGAGGGGCGTGAGGGCGGTGAGTGCGTGATGGGCGTGAGGGCTATGAGTGCGTGAGGGGCGTGAGGGCCATGAGAGTGAGTGAGGGCGGTGAGTGGCGTGAGGGCCATGAGTGCGTGAGGGCCGTGAGCGCATGAGGGGCGTGAGGGCCATGAGTGAGTGAGGGCTGTGAGGTTCAGTGAGGGTGAGTGAAGGGCTGAAGGTGAGTGTGACTGTGAGGAGGAGGGTGAGTGGGGGACTGAAGGTGAGTGTAGCTGTGAGGGTGAGGGTCAGTGAGGGGCTCCAGTGTGGCTGTGAGGGTGAGGGTGAGTGAGGGCGACCTAAAATGCCGACCTCTGCGTGTGGCATGACCCCACTGGAGAGCACGTGAAAATTTGAATGTCTGTTTTGGCATCAATTTAATTTACATTTTCTTTCAATAGCTATTATGAATTTAGAGATAGCAAGTAGCATGCCGGAAAGAGTTAAGCTGGGGAATTCCGAAGATGTGCCTAGTTTGGGTTGCTCAAGAAGCTGCCGGGGCTTTCCTTTAAAGTTTTGTGGGGTTTGACATGCCTCTGCACAAAATAGTCACAGCTGCAACTGATGGTGCACAAGTAAAACACAGTCCAGCTGGTCTATTTTGTGCTCAGGGCATGTCCTGCACGCGGATTATCTGATATTTGCTGAAATATTCGTACGTTGCCCAAATATTCGGCCATAACTGAATATTTGGAAATTTTTGAACATGCAATTCTCGAATCGAATACGAATCAAATAAGAAAAATATTCTATTCGTATTTGAAATCTCGAATATTCGCACACCCCTACTTTCCACAAAGTGAGCAAAAGTAGTGTTTGTAGACATTTCATCTGCTGAAGCAAGCTAAAAATGTGGTTCATCTGCTACAAAGCATCATTCACAGACGGAAATATAACGAGAAAACACCTACGTTTTCTGTTAACGAACTGGAAAGAAAGTTGATTATCTGCTATGAAACGAGTGCTTCAATAAAGTGAGATCAGATGCAGGCTGAAGTTGTGATTGTCCGCTATTTTACATAGAGGCCATTGAAAACCCAAACTTGGCTTGCAGATCTGAAGTTTTTCTGCTGCCGTACACAGTCTGGTATTGAACATTGGATGCAGGAGTACCAAACACAAGCACATCAAAAACCGTGTGACCTGTCTTGCTCTTTATAGGTTGAGGGGGTCTTGCCAAAATATTGCCCAATTGTCAACTTGCAAATGGGGGAAAAATATCTCATTGGTTAATTACGCGAAGCTGTGGTGCCACATCTAATCAGCAGCCGAGAACGCTCTCATCTTGACCAACTTCTGACCCCAGGAAGGGTTCCTCGGCTGTGGCCTAAGAGAGACGGATGTCACTCGAGGAAGAAAATATTTAGAGTCCCTACTCTGCCCATTAGCAGTGTACGCCTTTGAAACGAGAGTGCTTGGCACGCAGCAAGAAGAACAACTGGAGCTGAGACGAGGTCAGCAGGAAGGGCTGAGCAAGCAGTTGGATGGAGAGCTACAGCGCTGGGAAGAGCACCGCCAAGGGGCGCTCCGCAAGGTCTTCCTCCTCTTGGCCGAGCAGCAGCTGCAGTGCCTCCAACAGGTGAGCAGAGCGTAGACAACCGAGGTCCCAAAAGCACAGCTGAGCGCGACTTCTTCATTAGAGGGTTCGTAGCAGGCGGAGTTCTGGTTTAGGATGACCTTTCAGTGTGCAAACAATTTAACTTGCTATCTCCTATTCCTCTTTTTCTGTGCTGTGTGATATTTGGTTTAGTGAGATTGGTAGTTCTTTTTAAATGCAGTCTGCACAAATTGTTTCAGTTGTCTGCATTCTCATATTATTGAAAGTCAGTGTCTAAGCAAAGACCTTGGCCGGTTCCCTCAAAAAGAGCTCAACAAAAATTTAATGAGAGAAAAAGCATTATTAAGGCTTGCTTGAGAGCAGATTAGCTTCTGGAGAGTGGAGACTACACATTCTGACGTGTTAGCCTTGTTATACTTTCTTTCCTACTATCTCTAGTAGGTTCTTTGCTCGGATCATTTCTCGAAATGCTACTTAGGTGCAAGAACTTGCGTCTGCAGGATTTGCTAGGTGTGAAAATGCAGAGGATAACACTGCCGTGCGCTTCTCATCCTCAATTTCACACTGCCAGTTTTGAGCCTGTAGTAGAGCGGTAACTTTAGTGCACCACCACGCTTCCACTCCGCCGAACTTGCTCTGCGAGCAAGTTCGGCGGAGTTTGGGGCGCTCCGTGGAGCGGGCGCTGCCAGAGATCTACGAGCGGAAGATGACCAACTTGAGCCAGATCTGCGAGCGGAATATGCGCGCTCCAAATGGAGCACTTTTGGAGCTCTCGAGATCTGCGAGCGGAATTCACCATAAGCTTCCTAAATTTAACTGATTTTTGGGGGCTTTCGAAAGGAACAAAGGGACAAGCAAGTTTTGAATTGGAACCATATGTTTATTTTCCCCAATTAAAAAAGTGAATGAACAGATTTTAGTTAATTCAACTTATTGTGACGACAGCCCCTCATATTGCATCCCCTTGGTCGTATAACTCAATCGCACAGCCCGCGTTCGTATAGCTTACACGGCTTTTTTTGAAAATGACGATTTTTAAAGCTTAGAAACTTGTGTTGTGCGAATATTCAAATTTTTGAAAAGTAATTTCGAATAATACGCTATTCGATATTCGCTTTGAAAGTAACTGGGACAGTCATACTTTTGGAAGTTTTGACCGCAGCGGGTTAGCCCTGTTGAGTGCACTTCTCACGAAACACGTGTGCACTGCGGGGAAGCAATACCCGCGGAGCTCACAGGCTCCGTGGGTATTACTTCTACGCAGTGCTCAGACGCTTCGTGAGAAGTGCACTCAAAGGCACTAACCCTTCGCTATTATACAACAGTATATGTCAGGCAGCAATGTCTTGACAGCCTGCATTCATCATTCATGCTTTTTTCTGTGTCAAATTTGAAATTGAAGAAAGAACATTTGCATATAGCAAGCAGATTTGTAAATCCCCTTGATTAGGATAGCCGAAACAAATTGGTTGTTTACGTGCGACAGTTCATAAATATAGTTATGTAAAATTACCGTAGAATACCGTGCATCCGCCCATTCCACATTAGGCACCCATTCCACATTAGACACAGTACATTTATACGTAAAATTGATGACCGGACAAGTGCCAATCCCCCACTCTTTCGCAGTTATCTCTCAATTTTGAGTGGGCACTTGCCCAGTATTTTACGGTAACCGAGTTAGGAAGTGGACAAGTGGAAGATTGGTAACAACCTTCACTAGTTCAGCTGAATTTTTATTTAAGCATGGTGCATGGTAGTGAAAGGCTGGGAGAAACTATTCAATATAGAAATATTTGGCCAAACCCACCATTTTCTTCAAACTCAAAATCTACTATTTGCACATGACTACTAAAAATAAACACTCTGTATATCACTTTCTCCACATTCCATTGCACGGCCAACATGCATACTATATCCTTGAGCCAGAGGTTTTAACTAGGGGTGTGTGAATACCGAATAGTAGTTTTCAAAGCGAATACCGAATCGAATCAAGAAAAAAAAAGCCGAATATCGAATCAATTATCGAATAGTGATTTTATTCGTAGGAATTTTTCAAAGTGTGCTGCAAATGAGATGATTATGTGGGCAGAGTATGCGCCTGGTGCAGAATATGCATCTTGTAGGAAACAAGAGCTAAAAGGTAAAAAAAAAATTGTGAAAAATAAAATAAAGAAAATAAAAGCAGTTGCTGTTGGATGTTGGGTACTAAAGATCCAATTTTATGGCACAAATATAATTTATCTACCCTAAACGTCACAAAAAGCCAAAGTTACATTCACGCATGCCTTTTTTTTTCTTGTTAACAGCAGAACCTAACACCGCAACTTTTTTTTTTTTTATAAATATTTGTATATCTCAGAAAAGAAGCGTTTTGCGGTATTTGGTTTTCATTTTAAGGAAGAAAAAGGGTACTTGGGATTTTATTTCGTATAAATAAACAGATAGGTGTTAAATCTGAGTAAACAGGCTTAAACAATATAATTTGAAGTAAGAAAAAAAAAACGTGGTTAGGTGGTGCAAGACACCGTCCAACTGCCGTTATGCATCCATTTTCCCGTCTGTTCTGTTTTAGAGAGCCTTGATTTAAAAGAGGGAGCAAGCGAAACTGAAACCACTGAAATGGCTTAGGGCAGATTGGTCGCGTGCGCATGTGTTGTGTTGTCGCGTGGAAAAAGGTGAGCAAACAGAAGGGCGACGATGCCTGCCGTCCCTGTCCTGCCTGCCCGATCCCGATCGACGCTTTCGTCTTTTCGTCACCTTCTCGCACTTCGTAATTCAAACGCTGCTATCGCACGGTTGGAAACCCTCTCAAATCTAGGCACACTATTTTTCCGTTCCGTTCCGAATTAGAATTTGCGGCTTGTGGTTCCAAAAGAACAACGATGATAACTCAGCTGGTGTCATCGGCGTGGTTAATGTGGTTATCTTTCTGTGATTGTGAAGTAGCCGATTTCTGTGAGTGCGGCCAAGTGTGTTTTACATCAGTGCTTCAATATGAAACGAGGGGCTTTACTCGTGAAAAGAATTAGGCATGGCACGGGATTCCGGCCTCCCAACAATTCCTCTCTGGAAGCGGCACAAACGGGATGTTTCGGTTCTGATTCAAGGATAGATTGTGTCACGATCGTGAGTAAATCTGCGTGCTATAAAGTTTGTGGCATCCGTTACTTTTCTTTTTTCTAATTTGTGCGTTAGATTTTTGTGGAATGGTGGGACCAAGAGATGTTTTTTGCATGGTCTGTGAAAGATCACGGTGCTTACATCGGGAGAAAAAACGGCTTTTTTGTCAGCTCCGCGGTGACCGTGCGTCTTTGGCCGAATATATTGCATATTTGAGTGACCGAATACTAGGAATTCGATTCGCGAATCGAATTAATCGGGAACTTTCTATTCGATTCGAATTCGCACACCCCTAGTTTTAACAGCTGCCACCAGTTTAACATGAACAAGGGTGAAAGGCCTGCATTTTAAGGTTATGATGATAATGCAATCAAATGCAAAGGTGCAAGCGAGCTGGACAAGAATAACAATAACAATCCCTGGAGAGGGGGAACAAAGGGGACAAAGGGCAAACACATATCTCCAAACAAAGCTTAATAATCCCTGAAGAAGGGGAGGGGGACATAGGACAAACACAAATCTCTAAACACAGCTAGCCTTGTTTAGAGATTTGTGTTTGTCCTTTGTCCCCTTTGTTCCCCCTCTCCAGGGATTGTTATTGTTATTCTTGTCCAGCTCGCTTGCACCTTTGCATTAATTGCATTATGATCACAAATCTAACAAGTTTGTGAAAAATAATTAATGTGGCCATATATTTGGGTTACTTCTTCGGCGATGTTTGTTTTTACGTTTAGAAAATTTTTCAGGGAAAACGGGGAGTATGAAGAAAATGCTGGAGTACCTTTTTAACAAATTCCCGCTTTATTAGCTCACAAAGAGCTTGTATTATACATGAATCATGATTAACTTACTCTGCCATTCACAACATGCAGCTCCGACCCCATGCCACTGGGGTGGCACCGTTGTTGGCACCGTGCATGCACAGAGTGTGCGCTTCGAGCGAATCTGGTTTTTGGCCATGTGCAGTGCTCACATGTGGTGCTAGCAAACGCCGGCTTGTTTTGTAAACAGCGTGTTGGTCTATAGTCCAGAAAACACGGTATTCTACCGAGCACGTGGGTGAACGTCATTCGAGGATTGCTTTTTTCCCCGCAGTGTCTTTCTGCTTGGGAGGGAGCCCTGGTCGCCCTGCGCAAACCCGACTCGGACGGCACTGCGGACGCTTCCACGTGAATCGGTTCCTCCAGAAGCTTTGTCGTAACCCCGAAAGCCCCGACGGTCATGCATGGAACGAGAAACATTCCACGGGACGTTTCCCACTTTGCTTCCGCCCTTTTTTGTAGTTTCTGACCGAGTGAGAACTGCAGGGAAATCTCGCGGCTCTTTGGCCTCCATCGTGGGCTTCGTTCCTTCGATAACGCTTCAACGTCTCGTCAGCTTCGAGCGTGCACGTTCTCATTCTGTCACCGACTATAAAGAGACAACTTCTTGGTGCTTTCCCGGAGCGTGGCTCGGGTGGCCTTCTTCGGGGGCCGTCCTTGTCCTTGATGGAATTTGCTGTTGTGATTTTAGTAGCACCGTGGCGAGTAGGAATTGTAATAGGACGGCCTCGGAACCAGTTCCACGGTCTGGTTAGTCTTTCGTATGTGCAATGGAATAGGAATTCAAATAAAACGTATTTGGTGCGTTGTTTTTCCTCGTGTTTTGGCTTGACGTACGAAATCGGGACATCTGCAAGCGCTATTTGGTCGTGAGAGGAACTGTACAAGTGAGCCAAGGAATAGAGTGCAGTCAAGTTTTTCACGAAGGCCTCTTTAGACGGTGCGATTAGCATACTCAAAAGTCTCGTTTGTAGGCTTCCAAAACAAAAAGTGAGAAAAAGGTCTCGGTAATGTAACCTCGGAGTGGGGGGATTAGCAGAAACGAGCCCTACGCTTGAGGATTTTGATGCCTGTTGTTAATTAGTTTGTTTGCATACTCTCTTTGAAACAGTGTTACCTCTGTGCACCAAAGCAAATTTGATATTTGTGTTTATATGCCGTAAGGTCGGTCTGCTTTGAGGAGCAGCGACACTGGTTTGCGCTGCAGTTGCAAAATTTAGTCAGTGCAATACCACTTTTAGCCTGGGGTCTTTGACATGCTTTATGCAGTAGCGATAAACATTAAGTTAAAATAGTTGGGAAAACGATTTTAAAAAAAATTTACCCCCTCCCTTCCCCTTTGTTCCTGCGTTAGCACTGTAGAAGTCAGAAGTTCAACGAACTTCGAACTTTTAGGGTAAAGGTTCGACGTTCGTCGAACTTCGAAAGATTGGCGGACGGTTTTATTTGAACCCAAGTAGTGAGGTACATTCGCAATTTTTTTTTCTCAAACTTTTACACGCGGTGCTGCGTTCCTTACGAAAGACAAAGCCGTTTGTTTCAATGTTCTGGCATGCTTAGGTTTAAAGAAATAAATTCCCAAAGGGGCGAGGAAGGACGACGGGTTTTTGACATTTGTCGTTTGTGCCAGATTTGAAGCGCGCTGTAGCCGAAGCTATTTATGGTAGAGATGTTATACTTTTTTTAAGAATGATCTATGTATAGCCTAGGTACGTGAGTTTCGAAGAAATGTCCAAACATGTATCGACATGCAATTATGCCCTAAACTTGATATTTATTTTCGTTTAAGTTGTTTGAGGTATCGAATTTAAATTAACACCACAGACAGTACATATCATTGCCATCTGCAGAATACAAAATAATGTATTTATTGTTTTTTCACGTAAAGGAATAAATCAACCCATGGGAGAGATTTTTCTAATAGTGTTCAAGTTCAGCAGGTCATTAAAAGAAAACATTTTTTTTTTTCGCTTCACGTTCCTGGGACGTGTTTCTCTTAGCCTGTACACATTTTGGTAAAAGAAACTTGTTTCGAAGGTCTGAACCTCTGAATAGGCAAGAATACAACACTTCCGGCGAAGTCTTGATAGTTTTTTTTTTTCTCCAGCTTTTTATCCCCGCATTTATTCTTCTTCTTTTTTTTTTTTTTTTTTTTTTTTTTTTACTATTGGCACAGGTATTTAGGTCGAAAAGACATAGCATTGAACTTCGAACCACTAAGCATGTGACGAGTAGTGCCTTCTGACAACGAGTTTCTAACAATGACCATCTTCGCAACTTTTATGCAGTGAAGAGCGACAGTAGCTATACATATGCATAAATAATTTCAGATTAAAATAAGCTCGACCATGCCCTCTTTCGCCGTATTGTTTTCTTTAACAGTTTGAACTATCTGGAAGGAAGGGGGGGGGGGGGGGGGGGGGGAGGGTGGGGGCTGGAGCCCCACTTCCTCCCCCATGCTTTTCCTCTTCCGATGCCACTGGTATGGTAGAACGTTCCTCGACCTCGAGTTGTGTAGGCTTCTGTGCTAAGTAACACCTTTTGGCGGGCTAGTTGGTTCATGATTTTAGAAAATTTTTGCTCGGCGTTTTCTCCGTCCCGGAAAATAAAACTCCAGAACGATTACAAACTTAACTTACTATGTGCCAGCGTCACTCGGGCGGCGTTCGATCGGATTACTACCAGCGTGTAAGGGGTGGCGAAGTAGTTTGCCAGGTCGCTTCAAGGTTTTTCTGAGCCTCAACCTCCTGCTCGCCCCTGGCCGTTTCGAACTGGATGAGTCTCCTAAAACAGTGGGTTCGTGTGATCACTACTGCATGATGCAAATTAAAGACCCCCCCCCCCCCCCCCCCTCCCTGGGCTGGCGGTCACAATTACTGATCTATGGTCACCCGTCACTCTGCACTGTCAAATATTCCAGCACATCCGGGACACTCGTCGTCTCATTTAATTGCCTCACCAACTTTGCAGAATCTAGATATCACACCCTAACTTTTCTAAACTTGATTTTGTGAAAACCAGTGAGTCGTGAAAACGTTATTTGAAACAAACTGTGGAGGAACTTGAAAACCGGACTTCGAACTTTGAAAACTTGGACTAGAAAGGAATTCAAAATCTTCTAAGTTTTTTTGTTTTCGAATTTAGCGTTAAAAGAAAATCGAAACCTTCGAACTTTTCGAACTTCATGCAGAAAGAAATTCAAAATCTTCGAATTGTTCGAACTTCATGTCTATAAAAATTCGAAGCGTCCGAAGTTTTCGAAATTTATTTCCAAAGAATTTCGAAATCTTCAAATTTATCGAACCTGAAGTAAAAATATATTAGAAATATTCGATTTCGAAATTTCAGAAACCGTGAAAGCTTCGAACTTCTCGAATTCGAAACTCCACTGTGATTGAAAGTCGCGAATTTTTCGAATTCGAACCCCGGTCGGTACGAAAATATCGAATTTTTTTCGAAATCGAACCTCAGTTCGCTTCGCAAATATCAAAACCTTTCGAAATCGAACCTGGGTGGTTCGCGACATCCCTAGTGGTTACGTGTTTACGAAGCGGTAGCGTAGTGGTAAGGTGTCTGCCTCATACACAGCGGACCCCGGTTCAATCTGCAGTGTTGGCTTCGTTTTTTTTTTTGTATTGTTTTGTTTTCTTTTCTCAAACATCTTGTTTTGTCGAGGCATTTCGTGGTATTTACGACATTTCTTTCTTACGATTAACACTGAAAAAAAAAATGAATGTTCTCGACGAAACTTTGCTGAACTAAATGGTATTGGACTCCCTTTCCAGAGGTGCATGGGGGACAGCAGGGCTTGGATTGCTGGCTGGGGCTCTAGGACTTTTCGGTGTAGTATGTTTCGGTGCAGGGCGTTTCAGTGCGGTCTTTTCGGTGCACGGACTTTTCGGTGCACGGACGTTTCGGTGCACGGACGTTTCGGTGCACTGACTTTTCGGTGTGCGGACATTTCGGTACACAGACGTTTCGTTGCTCGGACATTTCGGTGCACAGGAAATCAAAATCATGAGTTCTTTTAAGTTTTGTCTAAACGTAATACGCACTATTCTAGCTAGAAATTTATTTTTTCGTACTTTATAAATGTGTAGACTTGGTCATCCATTTACAATCAATTACTGATATACGACCTAAGTGACTTTGTTAGGCGCAGCACCATCCTGCGGGAGGACTGGATACGTTGGACGTTATGTTCAACTTGACCGCGTCTCTTTTCCAACGTACGCACTAGACGCATCACATCATGTTTCCACGTTGGGTCAATACAGGCATTCTCGATGCCTTCTGTAAAGGTGTGGGCTTTATTATTGGTAATCTGTGTAGGAAAGGCCCCAACGGCAACAAGCTTGAGGTTGTTGAAAATTACCCTAGACATGTCATGCGTCTAGTGCGTACGTTGGAAAAGAGACCGTCAAATTGGGGAACTTAATGTCCAACGCCTCCATTCCTCCCGTAGGATGGTGCAGCGCCTAACAAAGTCACTTGGGTCGTATATGAGTAAGTGATCGTAAATGAATGACCAAGTCTACACATTTATAAAGTATGAAAAATGAAAGCCGTTTACAACTCCCTGCAACGCCGAATAGGAGCGCAGCTCTTGACGAGGAGGAGGGTAGGGTACTGAGGGGAGGGTAGACCCCTCCTCCTCCTCCCTCGTGATCCTGCCTGCTACTCCTGAACAAAAGGGCTCCGGTTCGAAGCCGGCCGAGGGACAAGAGATAAGTCTTTTAAAATAATTTCTCGGAGTAGTGAAAATTCGGATTCGTCCCCCCTGCTCATCCTGCCTGCTCCCCTCCTTTCACCTCCTCCCCTCGCGGGGGTCACGTGATCTGGGGGGGGGGGGGGTCACGTGACCTGGGGGCGTCGCGTGACCTGGGGGGGGGGTCACGTGACCTCACGGTTACGTCGACGGCGACGCCGCTCAAGCCGGAAACGGGCGCCTAAGAGCTGCGCTCTAAAAATAAATTTCTAGCTAGAATAGTGCTTATTACGTTTAGACAAAACTAGAAAAAACTCGGGAATTTTGATTTCCTGTGCACCGAAAAGTCCGTGCACCGAAATGTCCGCACACCGAAAAGTCCCACCGAAAAGTCCGTGCACCGAAACGCCCTACACCAAAACGTCCCACACCGAAATGTCGGGATCCCGCTGGCTGGACGCCGCAAAGCGGCGTGTACAGGGTGGCCAAGTCGGTTAATAGTTCTGTAATGAGCAGCCGCAGACTGTCGCCATGAAGCGGTGGGAACGCAGGCGGCGGGCTGGCTTAACACGCTCCCCAGTGATACATGCGGCATCTGAATCGGAAATCCAAGTTGCTGCGCGTTGCCGAGCAGCTAATCCGGCGTGAGCGCCGTTGCTAGGGTGTATATCATTGCTAGGGTGTCCTTCTCCCCTCTGTTTTTTTCCTTGCCGCGTTGGGGGTCCAGGCAGTGGTATATACTGTATGCCACCCGGATCGCTCGCGTCCACCGAGATATATCTAAATACGTTAGCAGTGGCACCCTGTAGCAATGAGTCAAAACATGAAAGTCGATTCACATTGCTACTGTGAAATGGCACTGCGAGATAGCGCCACCGGTCCTTGCGCGACTCAACCTGAACTGGTGTCAGAGTACCGAAACTATGAGGCTCGATGGCGCCAAGATGGCAGCGCAGTTTGTTTATTATTTGGGTCATGAGCGTTTTGAAAGCATGTTTTTTGTGTAAAACCAAACATGCATGTGCAGAAATGGAGTGCTGCTTCTATAATGAAATGGGCATTCATTAATATTGCTGATCAGAGCCACCACAAATACATGTATG